TATAGACTTATGAAGAAAGTTAAGCAAAGTTGCTATTCCTCAATAAAGTTATTGGAAATGTTCTTACGTTTTTTCCTATGATTCTTCCTAAGAAAAAAGTTAAGAAGAAATGGGATTCTTGAAAGTAATGTTTTAGGATTTCTTCTTGGAAATGTCTTTAACTTTAGGACCACTAAACCCTTGTCTTGTGACGACTGGATACTTTTGTAACATGAACTTTTTCTTGCGCCACGAACGTTTTCTTGCGCCACTGCCACAGACTGTTGGCTACCAGACATTTAAATACAGCAAGAAAACTAATTAAAACGCGCATTATCTAGTTAGCCAGTAATTAACAATATATTACAATATTCTAGAAGTGTTAAATATCTAGCGTTAGCGCGTCAATTTGCAATGAAGAACTTGGCTAACCTAGTTAACGTTGTTAGCTATGTTGGCTAATGTCGTTACGTGGGGGACTGCGCTAACTTACCGGTCACGCAGTCCCTCTACCACAGTCTCTCCTATCATGGACAACACCTTCTCCTCCAGCTGGTCCACATTAATGGTCGATACCAATATTTAATGGTCGATACCATATTTCCTCCACCATCACTCCTGGCTGCTATTTCCTCCACCATCACTCCTGGCTGCTATTTCCTCCACCATCACTCCTGGCTGCTATTTCCTCCACCATCAATTCAAGCTTGTTTGCTGAAGTTAGTTGCTGAAGCCAACAATATATATATATATATATATATATATATATATATATATATATATATATATATATATATTCTCGAGACATAAAGCAGATAAATAAATGTAATTAAATGGAAATATCAACACTTTATTATAGTGGGCCAAATCCTATCATCCCAGTTACATAGGCGTATTTATTGGTTTCAAGCACGTCACTAATGTCAATGCCACATAAGATGATATTTACGAAGTTCTTAGGAAATATATTTACGAAGTCGCTAAGAAAACTATGAATTCCTTAAGAACATTTTGAGGAATTGCACTTATGAACTTCTTATTTTTTCCTTAAGAAACATTTTCGTTTTTTCGTAAGTAGTGTTTTGAGAATCCGGCCCCTGGACATTTTACATTTTAGTCATTTAGCAGACGCTCTTATCCAGAGCGAATTTACAGTTAGTGAGTGCATACATTTTACATTTGTAGTTCAGTCCTTGACTAATAATGTTCTGTACTATTATGTCATGTTTCATGTGGACCCCAGGAAGAGTAGCTGATGCTTTTGCAGAGGCTAATGGGGATCCTAATAAATACCAAATATCAAGCTAGCGATGACATGCAGGAGCTTGCAGGGATTTGTAGTCTTGCATGGTGTCTACTTTGATGGCAATTATCATTTTCGAATCTGAGAGTAAATATTGATTGATAAAAGTCAACTTGTCCTAGAGAGATTTACACGGTTATTAAAACGTCACCCCAGGGTAAGCCTACACGAAACACAGCCCTTATTTTAAGTGTTTCTAAAATTCCCTATGGGAAAAATGAATGGTGGAAAAAACGATTGGAACCATTTCCCTGTTTGACCACTAGGTTTTATGGGTATTATGACACCTCCACTGTGGGGCTCTCTTTAGCGTGAGTGAAGTGAGTTCGGAACAACTGAATGTATGCGTTTAAAAGTAGTTTTCACATACAAACTTTATATGTCCGAACTCGGAGTCAAATATGCGTCCCAAAAAAATAACATCGCTGTGGTAGAACATTTAATTTTGATTACCGATTTTCTGCATTGATCAGAGCGTCATCAGGTAGCCTGATTTCAGATGTGTCCATGTAAACAGGGTTATTAGGGAAAAGCATGTCAACGTTCTAATCAAATTATTATATTAATCTGACTATCCACAAATACTGTATCTCATTATTGTGTGCATGTAACCGTACTCACTGACTTTAACACACTTTTTACATAATAATAATAATATGCCATTTAGCAGACGCTTTTATCCAAAGCGACATACAGTCATATGTGCATACATTTTTACGTATGGGTGGTCCCGGGGATCGAACCCACTACCCTGGCGTTACAAGCACCATGCTCTACCAATTGAGCTACATACCCGCTTCCATAACACCAAGTCGTGGTAAAACAAATCGTGGCCCTAACAATTAGGCCCTCCAGAGTTGCAACTGTGGTGCATGTGTTACGTAATTGGCTAACAGGCCGGAGTCCTCTGTGTGGCCACATATAGATTGCTATATGCTATCACTTATGAGGAAACCACAGACTAGGCTACACATAGCCTACAGTGTTATCTGCTGGATAAACAGGGTTTAGTGTTGTCTCAGACTGATCTCATAGACTTAACATAGTAAATGCAAATCTGGGACACTCAAACTAGTATGATATGTTACGTTTGGTATGGTTACATACGTTACTTAAGACAAATTAAAGAAGGGTGAATGGGCGGGCATATCAGGCATATCAGGCAAACGTCTAGCAACCCAAAGGTTGTAATAATAATAATAATAATAATAATAATATCATACGAAACTTTGCAACTACTTACTACTTTTTAGCTACTTTGCAACTACTTATGTTAGCTAACCCTTCACCTAACCCTTTTGGCTAACCCTTCCAAAAACCTTAACCTTAACCCTTTTGGCTAAACCTTCCAATAACCCTAACCCTTTTGGCTAACCCTTCCAATAACCTTAACCCTTTTAGCTAACCCTTCCAATAACCTTAACCTTAACCCTTTTAGCTAACCCTTCCCCTAACCTTAACCCTTTTAGCTAACCCTTCCAATAACCTTAACCTTAACCCTTTTAGCTAACCCTTCCCCTAATCTTAACCCTTTTAGCTAACCCTTCACTAACCTTAACTTTAACCTAACTCCTAACCCCTAGCGCTAGCTAACATTTAGTGTTAGCAACCTAGCTGACGTTAGCTACAGCAAATTGGAATTTGTAACATGTCATACGTTTTGCAAATTTGTGAAATATTGTACGTTTTGCAATTCATAACACATCGTACGGATTGGAATTGGTAACATCACACGAAATGGATGATGGACAGCCACAAATTAATACATACCGTACGAAACGTAACATATCATACTAAAAGGAGTGTCTCGGATTTACGTACAGAATCATACGAATATTTGTTATTTATTTTTTATTTTCACCTTTATTTAACCAGGTAAGCCAGTTGAGAACAAGTTCTCATTTACAACTGCGACCTGGCCAAGATAAAGCAAAGCAGTGCGATTCAAAACAACAGAGTTACATATGGGGTAAACAAAACATAAAGTCAAAAATAAAACAGAAAATATATATACAGTGTGTGCAAATGTAGCAAGTTATGGAGGTAAGGCAATAAATAGGCTATAGTGCAAAATATTTACAATTAGTATTAACACTGGAACGATAGATGTGCAAGAGATGATGTGCAAATAGAGATACTGGGGTACAAATGAGCAAAATAAATAACAATATAGGGATGAGGTAGTTGGGCGGGCTAACTACAGAATCATACGAAATGCTCTGAGACCAGGTATTTAGTTCTGGGTATTAGAAATGGTGGGCTATGCACAATTTCAAATGACAGTTTATAGAAAGGATGGTCAACTTATAATGGTTATATTTCCTTCTATATTAACTATGATTTATTGTACACCCATACCTGCGATAGATCCCTTCTTGAATATAGTCTCTATATAAAAAAATTAACACATTCAACTTTTTACTAGGCTACATGTGAAGTAATTTTGGTAATGGGTCATAAACCAGTATACTGTCTCAGTTGTGCACGTATGCAAAAATATATGTTGAAAAAATACATTAAAATGTGTATCAATGTGTGACTTCTTGTAGTCAAAGGCAGAAAATGATCATTTTTATGGCAGAGAGGTCAGTGCACAGGACAAGTACAGTCAAAATCAAAATCAAATTGTATTTGTCACACGCTTTGTAAACAACAGGTGTAGACTAACAGTGAAATGCTTACAGGCCCTTACCCACAATGCAGAGAGAAAGAAAAGAGAAATAATAACGAGTACCAGTACCGAGTCGATGTGCAGGGGTACGAGGTCATTCAGGTAGATATATAGTGACTAGGCAACAGGATAGATAATAAACAGTAACAGCAGCCTCTATTTACATTGTAGTCATTTAGCAGACACTCTTATCCAGAGCGACTTACAGGAGCAATTAGGGTTAAGTGCCTTGCTCAAGGGCACATTGACAGATTTTTTTCACCTAGTCGGCACAGGGATTAGAACCAGCGACCTTTCGGTTACTGGTGCAACGCTCTTAACCACTAAGCTACCTGCCGCCCCTATGTGATGAGTAAGTGCAAAAAGGGTAAATGCAGATCTTCCGGTTAGCTATTGGTTAACTATTTTAACTAACTATTTAGCAGTCTTTTGGCTTGGGGGTAGAAGCTGTTCAGGATCCTGTTGGTTCCAGACTTGGTGCATTGGTACCGCTTGCTGTGGGGTAGCAGAGAGAACAGTCTATGACTTTGGAGCCTGGAGTCTTTGACCATTTTTTATGGCCCCTGGCTCCTACAGACAGTTTCTATATTGTTCATGATGGGAAATGACAGACTGGTCCCCTAAGGCTGCCTACTTTTGAGAGAAGGATGTAACTGGCTGAGATCCCATAGTGAGAGTTACTGGCAGAAGGAACATGGAATGACTGAGGGGCAATCTGAGATTCTAACAACAAAATGTACACCCCGCCTCTTGTTTTGGTAAACAGCTGAGGGATGAGACTGGAGAAATGTAACTACTCTCATATTTATAGACTGAGCTATAAGAGCCAAGGATTGAACATCCAGATCACTCATTTAAAAGTAAAAAAAAATAATGTACTAATCCCAGCTTGCCCCTTTAACAAATGTGGTGAAAGTTGTCATCTGTCAGTGGAATTGTTGTCAGAAGCAGACTGTATGTGTATTTAATTCCCCCCCCCCATAAGGTTTAGGTTCCATCTGCCTTTTAGTCACTACTAGTTGTTTACATGCGAGACTAGTTGTTTACATGCAGAGCAGCCGGCAGAGCAGCCGGCAGAGCAGCCGGCAGAGCAGCCGGCAGAGCAGCCGGCAGAGCAGCCGGCAGAGCAGCCGGCAGTTGGCGGCAATTGCCCGTTTTAGCCTGGTTGGCTTCTGTCTGGGCATAGGTGATAGACTGGAGCTATAGGCCTTTGTAGGGATGTCTGATCTGTCTTAGCTACAGAGTGTGACTACCTAGCAGGGTGTGCTAACATGACTAACCTAGCAGGGTGTGCTAACATGACTAACCTAGCAGGGTGTGCTAACTTGACTAACCTAGCAGGGTGTGCTAACATGACTAACCTAACAGGGTGTGCTAACTTGACTAACAAAGCAGGGTGTGCTAACATGACTAACTAGCAGGTTGTGCTAACATGACTAACCTAACAGGGTGTGCTAACTTGACTAACCTAGCAGGGTGTGCTAACATGACTAACTAGCAGGTTGTGCTAACATGACTAACCTAGCAGGTTGTGCTAACATGACTAACTAGCAGGTTGTGCTAACATGACTAACCTAGCAGGTTGTGCTAACATGACTAACCTAGCAGTGCGTGCTAACATGACTGACTAACTAGCAGGTTGTGCTAACATGACTAACTAGCAGGTTGTGCTAACATGACTAACCTAGCAGGGTGTGCTAACATGACTAACCTAGCAGGGTGTGCTAACATGACTAACCTAACAGGGTGTGCTAACATGACTAACCTAGCAGGGTGTGCTAACATGACTAACCTAACAGGGTGTGCTAACTTGACTAACCTAGCAGGGTGTGCTAACATGACTAACTAGCAGGTTGTGCTAACATGACTAACCTAACAGGGTGTGCTAACTTGACTAACCTAGCAGGGTGTGCTAACATGACTAACTAGCAGGTTGTGCTAACATGACTAACCTAGCAGGTTGTGCTAACATGACTAACTAGCAGGTTGTGCTAACATGACTAACCTAGCAGGTTGTGCTAACATGACTAACCTAGCAGTGCGTGCTAACATGACTGACTAACTAGCAGGTTGTGCTAACATGACTAACTAGCAGGTTGTGCTAACATGACTAACCTAGCAGGGTGTGCTAACATGACTAACCTAGCCGGTTGTGCTAACATGACTAACCTAGCAGGGTGTGCTAACATGACTAACCTAGCAGGGTGTGCTAACATGACTAACCTAGCCGGTTGTGCTAACATGACTAACCTAGCAGGGTGTGCTAACATGACTAACCTAGCAGGGTGTGCTAACATTACTAACTAGCAATGAGTACTAGCAGATAATAGCTCTGTGTGCATACATTTTTACGTATGGGTGGTCCCGGGGATCGAACCCACTACCCTGGTGTTACAAGCGACATGCTCTACCAATTGAGCTACAGAGGACCAAATGGAAGAAATTGAAGAAAAATGAGTTTAAAAATATCTATATATGTATATATTTAGAAAAAATAATGGGGGAGGGGGGGACCTATGATCTCAATATACATTCAAATCCCTCAAACCAAATCGAAACTGAGGAGAAATGAGAATCGACCTACATTGACCGTGTACAACTCGCTAATAATCACCTAAATAAAAGCTAGACAGTCAGGGAGCATCAAAAATTCCAAAAACAATGGATAGGAGACAATTTTTTTGCACATTTTGACAGCGAGGAAATATAACACATTTTCAGTGTGGCCCTCCAGACCTCGTTGAATGCCGAATGTGGCCCCGGGGCAAAATTAGTTTGACAGCCCTAGTCTAGTTCTTCTTAAAAGCTGTACTTACTATCAAAGTTGTATCTGTGCCCAGGCCAATATAGTTTCTTGATTGTATGTATTTGTGATCAATAATTCACATCCCCACAGGATATTAAGAGTTTATTTGGGATACAATGTAGCTATAAAGCGTAATTGGTTTCGGGCACGCCTCCTGTTTTAAATAGTTAAATAAAGTCAAAACTACTGCTTGTGATTGGCCTTTTTTAACACTTGCGTAGGGAGGGAGGTGTGGCTACTGCTTGTGATTGGCCTTTTTAACACTTGCGTAGGGAGAGAGGTGTGGCTTCATCAAACACAACGACGTCCAAGGCGCTCCATGACAACAACATCCGCGAAGGAATGGTGCCAATTACATGTATCGTTAATTAAATCACTCTAAACGAAGCAGTTATTCGAAAAATTAATATACCAGCTTATATTTCTTTAGACCGATGGATGGACTATGCAATAACGTTAGCTAGCAAATACGCTATCTGCTAGCATAACAACACAGCCAGCTAACGTTAACCAGTTAGCCATAGGTTGCTTTGGGAGGTAACGTTAGCTAGCTAAGCTAACGATATCTGCTTTGTCGTCGCAACTGAAACTTCAGACACCAAGGGCACCTGTCAAACTTGAAAACTACAGCACTTGCGCTCCCATCTAGGTCATAGCAAAAACAACCCCAGTCCGAGCGTCCCTCGTCTTCTGAGGTGAGACTAAAGCAAGTAAGCTAAAGGTGGCTAGCTAGTTATGCATTCTCAGTTAGCTAAAAGGAAAACATGGTTAGCGAGCTAAGTAACTAACTAACCTGCCTACAGTTACCTAGCTCGCTAATCATGTGTTCCTTTTAAGCATTTAGCTATTGATGATAGCAAGCATATTTGCAAAATATGATTGAAAAGCTTGATTCTTTTGTGCATGTGTTGCACACTGCAAAAATGTGGTTGACAGTGGACGGCTATCTTGGCTTAAATAACAGCTAGCTAGCTCCTGTGTCCATTGCAAGCAATGCCTTTGTGCTTTTTGAGGCTAAATGCGTAAGCATCGTGGAATATCAGCCATGCAACTTGAAATTAAAAAATAAGTGTAACGTTATATGCTTTATCGTTGCATGCCTGTCTCATTGAAACGTGAAACAAATCTATTATTGCTACTTATTTAGCTAGCTAACTCCTCGTCCTTTGTTGTTGCTTTGTTTCTCTCCGAGCACATGGCTTTCCTTGTTTTTGTTTCAGTTAGCTACAGCGCCCCCTACTTACAAATTTATATGACGTGAAATAGTCCAGTGATTCTTTGGCTGCGTTTATACAGGCAGCCCAATTTGGTTTTATTTTTGTTTTCAGATCAGATCTGGTGTGAAGAAATCTGACGTGATTAGGACTAATTAGTGGAAAACATATGGGCTGCCTGTGTACATGCATTGCACCTTGCACATACAGCTAGATACAGTAGCTATACATTTGTCATTTAGCAGATGCTCTTATCCAGAGTGACTTACTTACTAACGTACAGTCAAAATTCAGTTTCTCCTGTGTTTTTTTCTCATATTGTACAACAGCTGATGAAACTAACACTGTAGAAGTGTGAAAACATTTGATCGGTGTTATTTTCTGATAGTTGCTGGTTGAAAATCTAATCTGCACAGGACCTTCTAATCAGCAGGTTTGCATGGGCTGGAGTTTCAGCTTTCCATGGTGACATCACCATGCGGTAAATTGGTTAATAGACCAATAACAAAGAGAGTTCCAAACCTCTCTGCCAATAACAGCTAGTTTTCAGTTTTCCCCGCCCCACTCAGACCACTCCCAGACGGTTCTTGCTTGAGAAATAGTTGTTTGCAAAAAATCTATTTTTGTCCATTTTAATGGAGATCTATTACAGTAAGGTTACCCAGAAATGATTTGATATTGATATACACACACACACACACATTTCAAATCAACCTCAGTTTTGAATATCCAGGCTAGTTTGTGAGCGTGGTTGGGTAGCTAACGGTGTTTTTATTTTCAGGGTAAAGACAGAGGTTAGAAGGCACAAGTGCCTCCAGCACCACTGGTCTCCTCTTCCAGAGTGTGACTCGTCGGTCCCCACGACGTCACCAATGCGACCATGGGAAATAGCAGTGACTAGGCGGCCACCAACAGCCCCTTTGAACCAGAGGAGGTTCCCAGGAGAGCCCTGTGACACCCCAGTGCACCTCAGGAGAAGGTGAATACTACTCCCTTAGTACACGGATGTGTTCCAAATGGCACCCTATTCAGCACACTACTATAGGCCCTGGTCAAAAGTAATGCACTATAAAGGGGGAAAAAAGGTACCGTTTGGGAAGCAGCCACCCTCTTTAAAAAAAATAAATAATGTTTTATCAACTGTCATTATGGAATGATGGGCCATCTATTACATAGGGTTTAGGAATCATTTGTGCTGTATTCATGGACCAACTGCCCAGACAGCACTTATTTGACTGTGTTTGATCAACTATTGTCACAGTTTACATGAACTGAAGAAAATCAGAATTAACATTGTAAATAACCCCCAAAAAAGAAAATGCTTATAGAATTGTATGGGGTGTTGTATCAAAAAAAGAATGTAAGTATATCCTAAACAAGATCATGTTAATTGTCCATGCATGGTATCCTTGATGTTTCTTGGTGTCCTTGATGTTTCATGGTATCCTTGATGTTTCATGGTATCCTTGATGTTTCAGCCACCAGGTCTTTTGGATTCTAGCTGTTGTTTAGTTGCCTTTATTCCCTCTGACCTTCTCTAACTTGTGATATTCATAAACATGTTTAATGTAAAAATAAAAAAAAAGACAACATTACATTAAAGACAATCTAAGTATATCCTAAACAGATAATTTGATACACTTTTTTGAATACATGGTGTGCCTGATGTTTCATGGTATGCCTGATGTTTCATGGTATGCCTGATGTTTCATGGTGTGCCTGATGTTTCATGGTGTGCCTGATGTTTCATGGTATGCCTGATGTTTCATGGAATGCCTGATGTTTCATGGTATGCCTGATGTTTCATGGTGTGCCTGATGTTTCATGGTGTGCCTGATGTTTCATGGTATGCCTGATGTTTCATGGTATGCCTGATGTTTCATGGTGTGCCTGATGTTTCATGGTGTGCCTGATGTTTCATGGTGTGCCTGATGTTTCATGGTGTGCCTGATGTTTCATGGTATGCCTGATGTTTCATGGTATGCCTGATGTTTCATGGTGTGCTTACGTGATGTTCCCGCAGCCCGCCAGTGAGACGACAGTGGGGGAGCCGAGACCGACCGGTAGCACTGCAGAACGCCCTGCTCCAGGATGAGAACTTCCACCGCCCTCTCTTCTCCCAGCAACGTCAGCAGGTTTCTTTAGATGAGGCCAGACAGTACAGCCACTCCAGTGCACCGCCACGCATGCTTCACCCTGCCGCACACCCCCCACCTCAGCATCAACAGACCCCCATCATGGTGGATCTACACGACCAGGTACGTAGGTACACAGCTGTAGTTTCAGTGTTCCATGATGGGGGGGGGGGGGGGGTGGTCTGTTAAAAGACAGAAGAGAAGAGTGCAACTTTCCTTCCATTACTTTCACAGTGGATGTTGTAGTCTAGCAAATTGAAATTCACACTGGTTTAAGATCCGGGCCAGATGTGGGTTATTTATGCAGTCTGTTAGGCTCTATGGCACCGTGAGCTCTATGGCACCGTGAGCTCTATGGCACCGTGAGCTCTATGGCACCGTGAGCTCTATGGCACCGTGAGCTTTGGAGAAAGAAAAATAGAACCTTTGTGAATATGACACACAGAACAGTCTTCAAAATGAGACCTTGACTATATGTTGCATTCTGTCTTTTTGAAGTTGTTTGGAAATGGGCTGAATCACTGTTTTCTCTCTTGTACCAAGATGCACCAGGGATCTGTTCCCATCTCTTACACTGTTACCACGGTGACGACGCACGGTTTCCCCATCCACACTGGGCAACCTCTCCCAGGGTGCAACAGTCAGCAGCTACCAGCATGCTCGGTAATGTTCAGCGGACAGCTCTCTCTGCTCTGCTGCCTTCCTCCTCCTGTGAGTTTGAAAAGGAAGAGCTGAAATGTCAGTGACGTCCATGTTAGCAACACACCATACCACTGTTAATACACCACTTCCTACACACAATACCACTGTTAATACACCACTTCCTACACACAATACCACTGTTAATACACTGCTACCAACACACCATACCACTACCAACACACCATACCACTACCAACACACCATACCACTACCAACACACCATACCACTACCAACACACCATACCACTACCAACACACCATACCACTACCAACACACCATACCACTACCAACACACCATACCACTACCAACACACCATACCACTACCAACACACCATACCACTGTTAATACACTGCTACCAACACACCATACCACTGCTACCTACACCATACCACATACCACTGCTTGGAACTAGTTAAGGGGGAACAGAACCGAAAACTGGAAAATAACAACATTATTTGAGGACCAGAATCGAATACGAAAGTGATCTATACTGTTCCGGAACAGACCCGTTATTTTAAAAGCGTGGGAACCGATTAATAACGTTATTTTACGTTCCGGGCATATTCTTTTTTTGTCCCACAAAACTCTTTTAACAAAGCACCTATGCAAAGCCCTCACTCTGTTACTCAGAACGTATTCCAGCGTCTGCCTGCCAGCTGGACATCATTACCAGTGGGTGTGTGTAGACCACCTGCCCCTCCCCTCTTAAGCGCAGGTTACTGTAGCCTAGGTTACTGTAGCCTAGGTTACTGTAGCGCAGGTTACTGTAGCCTAGGTTACTGTAGCCTAGGTTACTGTAGCCTAGGTTACTGTAGCCTAGGTTACTGTAGCCTACTGACGACGTAATTCAGAAATTGGGGAGAGATGTTTAATTAGAGAAGAATGGATTTACATTTTCAATGCTAGTTAAGGACACTAGTTATCACGTTTCACATTGGATTTATTAACTACAAAAAGGTAAGACATGTTTTAAAGTGTAGTGCTGCTCTGCACACACAAGCTTGTTAGCTAGCTAGCGAACGTTTGCTCTGGTCCAACATCAAACCAACTCGGAAATTCAAAGACATTCAAAGTTCCTCCATAGAAGCCACTCCTCCATAGAAGCCACTCCTCCTAGGTATAATTCTGTGGGCCTAATTGAGATAATGCATGTCATAACAAGATGCTTAGCGCTTCAAGGCAAGCTTCCTCCATCTTCTCTCACCCTACACTGTGACTGGCAGCACAGTGTGTTTGTCCTTTCATTATGATTAAACCATGTTTTTACTGCAAAATATAATTAGCTCTTAACGACTTTCCTATACAGATTAAATCGCTGACCCGCTCCTCAGCACGCTGCTCTGTCTGCACTGATTGGTGAAGTAATTTTAATGTAGAGCTAAATGTAAAAAAAATATATATACAGTACCAGTCGAAAGTTTGGACACCTATTCGTTCAAGGGTTTTTCTTTCTTTAAAAAACATTTTTTACATTGTAGAATAATAGTGAAGACATCAAAACTATGAAATAACACATATGGAATCATGTAGTAACCAAAGAAGTGTTAAACAAATCAAAATATATTTTATATTTGAGAGTCTTCAAATAGCCACCCTTTGCCTTCATGACACCTTTGCACACTCTTGGCATTCTCTCAACCAGTTTCATGAGGTAGTCACCTGGAATGCATTTCAATTAACAGGTGTGCCTTCTTAAAAGTCAATTTGTGGAATTTCTTTCCTTCTTAATGCGTTTGAGCCAATCAGTTGTGTTGTGACAAGGTAGGGTTGGTATACAGAAGATAGCCCTATTTGGTAAAAGACCAAGTCCATATTATGGCAAGAACAGCTCAAATAAGCAAAGAGAAACGACAGTCCAGCATTACTTTACGACATAAAGGTCAGTCAATACAGAACATTTCAAGAACTTTGAACGTTTCTTCAAGTGCAGTCGCAGAAACCATCAAGCGCTATGATGAAACTGGCTCTCATGAGGACCGCCACAGGAATGGAAGACCCGGAGTCTGCTGCAGAGGATAAGCTCATTAGAGTTACCAGCCTCAGAAATTGCAGCCCAAATAAATGCTTCACAGAGTTCAAGTAACAGACACATCTCAACATCAACTGTTCAGAGGAGACTGCGTGAGTCAGGCCTTCATGGTCGAATTGCTGCAAAGAAACCACTACTAAAGGACACCAATAATAAGAAGAGACTTGCTTGGGCCAAGAAACACGAGCAATGCACATTAGACCGGTGGAAATTTGTCCTTTGGTCTGGAGTCCAAATTGGAGATTTTTGGTTCAAACTGCCGTGTCTTTGTGAGACGCGGTGTGGGTAAACGGATGATCTCTGCATGTGTAGTTCTCACCGTAAAGCATGTAGGAGGAGGTGTTATGGTGTGGGGGTGCTTTGCTGGTGACACTGTCTGTGATTTATTTAGAATTCAAGGCACAGTTAACCAGCATGGCTACCACAGCATTCTGCAGCGATACACCATCCCATCTGGTTTGGGCTTAGTGGGACTATCATTTGTTTTTCAACAGGGCAATGACCCAACACACCTCCAGGCTGTGTAAGGGCTATTTTACCAAGAAGGAGAGTGATTGAGTGCTGCATCAGATGACCTGGCCTCCACAATCCCCCGACCTCAACCCAATTGAGATGGTTTGGGATGAGTCGGACGGCAGAGTGAAGGAAAAGCAGCCAACAAGTGCTCAGCATATGTGGGAACTCCTTCAAGACTGTTGGAAAAGCATTCCAGGTGAAGCTGGTTGAGAGAATGCCAAGAGTGTGCAAAGCTGTGATCAAGCCAAAGGGTGGCTATTTGAAGAATCTCAAATATGACATATATTTTGATTTGTTTAACACTTTTTTTGGTTACTACATGATTCCATATGTGTTATTTCATAGTTTTGATGTCTTCACTATTATTCTACAATGTAAAACATTTTAAAAATAAAGAAGAAAAACCCTTGACTGGTACTGGGTATAAATAGATTGATATTATTGGTTATTCTGTATATTTCAGAATTTTAAAAAGGAACAGAAAGGAATGATGTAAACCAGTACTTTTATTTTGGTTCAAACCGGTTCAGAACTTTATTCTGCTGGTCGGAACAGTGGAACGGTACCAAAATAAATAAGGTTCTGTTTAGAACGAAACGATTGGAAAATAATTTCGGTTCGAACCCCTACTACCAACACGCCATACCACTACCAACACGCCATACCACTACCAACACGCCATACCACCAACACGCCATACCACCACCAACACGCCATACCACTACCAACACGCCATACCACTACCAACACGCCATACCACTACCAACACGCCATACCACTACCAACACGCCATACCACTACCAACACGCCATACCACTACCAACACGCCATACCACTACCAACACGCCATACCACTACCAACACGCCATACCACTACCACGCCATACCACCACCAACACGCCATACCACTACCAACACGCCATACCACTACCAACACGCCATACCACCACCAACACGCCATACCACTACCAACACGCCATACCACTTCAGTCGTGTTCACTGTCGATGTAGCATCCCTACCAACACTGCTTCTTTCTTAAGCTGTTTAGCAGCATGATCTTTGCAAATACTTTTGACGTCATTGCATCTGTGCTTTGGACATATTCACTCCTGCTCATGTGTTTGTGTAGAGTAAGGATTGGCCGTGTTTGGCTAGTAATACCCATAGATCATAGATTGCTTTTAATCCATAGATTATTATTTGACTCATGTTGAATTTGGTTTCTTGAGGACGGTCCTGCCAGTCTTGTTCCGTATGGTTAACCACAGTTTATTATTGTCATTTGTTATTAATAGTGTGTCTGTCTGTTTTTTTTTCTCTCTTTTGTAGCTCATCCAAGCCTGTACAATGCAGCATTTACCGGTGTCTTACCAAGCCTTCCCACCGCTGATCTCCAGGGAGCATTTTATACTGCACCCCAACCCCCCGGGGCCCCCCCACCAGCCTCCTCACCTTACTCCTCTCAGCCAGTTCCTCCCTCTACAGAGGCAGCACACACGCACGGTGAGTACCCTATTGAGTCCCAAATGGCACCCCTACATAGTACATAGGGCCCATAGGGTTCTGGTCAAAAGTAATAATAATTGATTCAACTTTTGTAGCGCTCTTCATTACATACATTCATTACAAGAATCTCAAAGCGCTTTAAAGTAACCCCCCCCCCCAAAAAAAACAAACATGCAATTTAGAAACACCAACATATGATGAACATTTAGAAAGTTCATGGCTTGGAGTGGTCATCTGAGGGAGGTGGTTAAGCAGGGAGAGAAAGTCTGGAGGCAGGCAGGCAGGCAGGCAGGTAGGCAGGCAGGCAGGCAGGCAGGCAGCGCGGTCTCATCAAGGTGTCTCGCCGTCTCTGGCTTTTCCATAGTAGGAGCTCGGCCACTGCAGACCATGGATTCTGTAGTGGGTAGCTAGTGAGCTACTCCTTCACCACTACCAACGGGGGGGGGGGGGGGGGGGGGGGTCGAACGTTTTGGCTCAAACTCCACATCGAGATGTTTTTCTCGATTTGTTTGTCAAAATCAATTTGTGGGCCCCCCAAAAAAATGGCACTTATTTGAAAGTATATACAGTGCCTTCAGAAAGTATTCATACCACTTGACTTATTTCACGTTTTTGTTGTTACAGCCTGAATTCAAAATGGATTCAATTGTATTTGTTCTCACCCATCTACACACAATACCCCATAATGACAAAGTGAATACATGTTTTTTTTTAGAAACTTTAGCAAATGTATTGAAAATTAAATACAGAAATATGTCACACCCCTGAGCCAATACATGTTAGAATCACCTTTGGCAGCGATCACAGCTGGGAGTCTCTACGAGCTTTGCACACCTGGATTGTACAATATTAGCACATTATTCTTAAAAAAAATTATTAAAGCTCTGTCAAATTGGTTGTTGGTCATTGGTAGACAGCCATTTTCAAGTCTTGCCATTGATTTTCAAGCCGATTGTAAGTCAAAACTGTAACTAGGCCACTCAGGAACATCTTGGTAAGCAACCCCAGTGTAGATTTGGCCTTGTGTTTTAGGTTATTGTCCTACTGAAAGGTGAATTTGTCTCCCAGTGTCTGTTGGAAAGCGGACTGAACCTGGTTTACCTCTAGGATTTTGCCTGTGCTTAGCTCTATTCCGTTTATTTTTATTCTAAAAACAAACTCCCCAGTCCTTGCCGATGACAAGCAGATACCCATAACATGATGCAGTCACCACCATGCTTGAAAATATGAAGAGTGGTACCCAGTGTTGTGTTGGATTTGCCCCAAACATAACACTTTGTATTCAGGATTTCTTTGCCACATTTTTTGCAGTTTTACTTTAGTGTCTTATTGCGAACAGGATGCATGTTTTGGAATATTTTTATTCTGTTCAGGCTTCCTTCATTTCACTCTGTCATTTAGGCTAGTATTGTGGAGTAACTACAATGTTGTAACTACACTTTGTTAAGTGTTGCAGTTATTTCAGTTGCTGTAGTAGCTGACGTGTATAGTGTTGAGTCATCCGCATACATAGACACACTGGCTTTAATCAAAGCCAGTGGCATGTTGTTAGTGAAGACTGAAAAAAGCAAGGGGCCTAGACAGCTGCCCTGGGGAATTCCTGATTCTACCTGGATTTTGTTGGAGAGGCTTCCATTAAAGAACACCCTCTGTGTTCTGTTAGACAGGTAACTCTTTATCCACAATATAGCAGGGGGTGTAAAGCCATAACACATACGTTTTTCCAGCAGTAGACTATGATCGATAATGTCAAAAGCCGCACTGAAGTCTAACAAAACAGCCCCCACAATCTTTTTATCATCAATTTCTCTCAGCCAATCATCAGTCATTTGTGTAAGTGTTGTGCTTGTTGAATGTCCTTCTCTATAAGCGTGCTGAAAGTCTGTTGTTAATTTGTTTACAGTAAAATAGCATTGTATCTGGTCAAACACAATTTTTTCCAATAGTTTACTAATGGTTGGTAACAGGCTAATAGCGGAATGACTTTTGCTTCCCTCCAAGCCTGGGGGCACACACATTCTAGTAGGCTTAAATTGAAGATATGGCAAATAGGAGTGGCAATATCGTCCACTAATATCCTCAGTAATTTTCCATCCAAGTTGTCAGACCCCGGTGGCTTGTCATTGTTAATAGACAACAATAACTTTTTTCACTTCTTCCACACTCACTTTACGGAATTCAAAATTACAATGCTTGTCTTTCATAATTTGGTCAGCTATGCTTGGATGTGTAGTGTCAGCAATTGTTGCTGGCATGTCATGCCTAAATTTGCTAATCTTGCCAATGAAAACATTATTAAAGTAGTTGGCAATATGAGTTGGTTTTGTGATGAATGAGCCATCTGATTCAATTAATGATGGAGCTGAGTTTGCCTTTTTCCCCAACATGTAATTGAAGCTGCTCCAAAGCTTTTTACTATCATTCTTTGTCATTTATCTTTGTTTCATAGTGTAGTTTCTTCTTCTTTTTATTCAGTTTAGTCCCATGATTTCTGAATTTGCAGTACGTTTGCCAATCGGTTGTGCAGCCAGACTTATTTGCCATTCCTTTTACCTCATCCCTCTCAACCATACAATTCCTCATCAATCCACGGGGATTTAACAGTTTTTACAGTCATTTTCTTAATGGGTGCATGCTTATTAGTAACTGGGATAAGCAATTTCATAAATTTGTGAAGTGCAGTGTCTGTTTGCTCCTCATTACACACCACGGACCAACATGTATTCTTTACATCAACAACATAGGAATCACTACAAAACGTATTGTATGACCTCTTATACACAATATTAGGCCCAGCCTTTGGAACTTTGGTTTTCCTAGATATGGCTACTATATTGTGATCACTACATCCGATGGATTTGGATACTGTTTTCAAACAAATCTCTGCAGCATTAGTAAAGATATGATCAATACATGTTGATAATTTAATTCCTGTGCTGTTTGTAACCACCCTGGTAGGTTGACTGATAACCTGAACCAGGTTGCAGGCACTGGTTACAGTTTGAAGCTTTTTCTTGAGTGGGCAGCCTGATGAAAGCTAGTCAATATTTAAATCACCCAGAAAGTATACCTCTCTATTGATATCACATACATTATCAAGCATTTCACACGTTATCCAGATAATGACTGTTAGCACTTGGTGGTCTATAGCAGCTTCCCACCAGAATGGGCTTTAGGTGAGGCAGATGAACCTGTAGCCATATTACTTCAACAGTATTTAACATGAGATCCTCTCTAATCTTCACAGGAATGTGGTTCTGAATATAAACAGCAACACCTCCACCATTGGCATTTCTATCTTTTCTGTAAATGTTATAACCTTGCATTGCTACCACTGTATCATCAAAGCTATTATCTAAGTGAGTTTCAGAGATAGTCAGAATATGAATGTCATCTGTTACTAACAAATTATTGATTTCATAAACTTAGTTTCTTAAGCTACATATGTTAACGTGGGCTATTTTGAGCACTTTTCTTCTGGGATGCTTACTTGTTTATATTGCTTTACTGGGAAGCTTAGCAGCAGTAGATGTGCTCCATGTTCTTTATGTTAGTGCAGGGTGAGCTGCACACGGTGGACTGCCTCCTCGGGCACACCGCCTCAGTGCTAACAGTATAAATCTGGTTCCTGGGCACATGATCACTACACAACAGCTGCAGGATCAGCAGAGGAACCCAGGGCAGCTAGAGGGACACAAACCAGGTTACCCACATTGTGTCTACCGACGCCCCTGGTGTAATGTACATTTGCTGAAGCATTTTGACAACTCTGCGTCACAATGATGGGGATTAGCTGAGCTGGGCTTGGGTCATCGCTAAGTCATTGTCTCAACGCAGCCTTATAATGCTGTGAAAGGATTCAGGAACCCAAATGATTTGGGTGGATCCCATCCTCCGTGTGAAATGTGTTTTGTTTCCAAAAGGTATCGAAATTGTCAACAAAAGTTACACCGATTGAGCTGCAATAATCACGTAGCCAGTTGTGAAGAGAAAGAATCCTGCTAAAGCGTTCAATGCCACGATTCAGAGAGGGCACAGGGACAGATATGATGGTCTTTTATTTAGTGTCTAGCAGAGAGTCAATCAGCTCTTTAAAATCCAGTTTCAACTGTTCAGAGCTGCCCTTTATAATGTAATTAAAACCCACATGGACTACGGTAGAATCTATTTCCATGTCCTGACGTAGTACATTCGGGAGCAGCTTAGTAATGACATTTACTCGAGCTCTGGGATAGGACATTGTTTTTGCACCAGGAACGGTCACATTTCTTACCATGGAGCTGCCCAAAATCACGGCTGGCGAGAAAGACGAGGAAATCCGCCCACTCCCACGCTTCACAGGATGCAGGCCTCCGACAGATGCTCGATCCAGAGCAGGGACGGAAGGTTGCCGACTTCGAAATCGTAGTAGTAGGCGCCGCAGACACAGGCACCCCCAGCGACGAAGGTGCAGGAAGATCAGGCTCCAGGACGGCGTAACTATACGTTGTTTTAATCCGCTCCGGGCCTCTCGTTGGGAGTGTAGATTGCTTAGCGGGAGTCTGCTGTCTTTGGCTTCCACGGCTTTTGACATGCGACCATCGTTGATTGCCTTTCTCCTCATGCTGTGCTCCTTCGACGGCGCTATCAGATGGGGGAGCTCCGGGCAACACCGGCCAGTCGGATAACGACAAATGACAAGGCGGAGATGCATCCAACAAGCGCGAACGCCGTCCAGCCACCGGCGTAGAAAAGGTCAACATTCCACTCTGCGTTTTCCCCAGTTTCTTCCGTAGGCTGGCGACCTGCGTGATCAAGGAAGCCACCTCAAGACTATAACCCCTGGCAAGTAAACTATTGCCGCATTTGAACTCAGAGTGATCCAGTTTGTCTTGAAACAAAGCGTAATAGATACAGTGCTGGAACCGTTCATTTAGTTCTCCAGACAAAGAGGGCTCCATTGCAAAACTAATCTGGTACCAACTTCGTTAGCTTGATGGCTAGCACCTTAGCGGATTGTCAGTCGAGTGATTTAGTTATTGGATTGACATGATGGAAGAGAATCTGAGGGAGTTCATTCCATGGCTGCCAAGGGAGACCATCCGTGCTACAATGCCACAATGTTTTTAAGGACCACTACCCAGGAACAATCTACATTATTGACTGCTCAGAAACTGCTTTTACAGAAGTGCAAGAATCTGGATTCAAGGGGGGGGGAGTCATTCAGTCATTACTACGCCCAGAACACTATCAAGTACCTGGTGGCCATTGCACCTTGTGGTCTAGTGATGTTCATCTCCTCAGCATATGGAGGTAGATGTAGCCACAAATATATAACATCGGATTCTGGGTTCCTGGTGTACCTCCTATCCAGGTGATGAGGTCCAGCCTTCACAAAAAAGAGGCGCACAGCTGTCAGAGGAGGACACCACATGTACAAGACGTGAGGGTTCATGTGGAACGCGTAATTCAAAGGCTCAAACAGTTTAGACTCAACCTCATCTAGAATGGACAAAATACTTCAAATCTGTGCTGCCCTGTGTAACCTGTGTGGTGATATCATTAATGAAGATGCTGAATAATAATAATAATATGCCATTTAGCAGACGCTTTTATCCAAAGCGACTTACAGTCATGCGTGCATACATTTTTTTTTTTGGTGTATGGGTGGTCCCGGGGATCGAACCCACTACCTTGGCGTTACAAGCGCCGTGCTCTACCAGCTGAGCTACAGAGGACCACAAGGAATGAACTGACCAGTCAAATGCCATTCACAGGGTCGATTTCCCAATATGAATTAAAGTTATGTGTCAAAAGTCACGTTAAATAAATTTCAATTCATTCTATAACAACTCAACTTAATTATTTGTTTTACATACTCATTAATATTAATAAAAAAACAAAGCCATAAAAACAATTTCCACAATACTGTGACTGTTGATGCATTAAGTCAGGCTTTTAAAATTTAAAAACAATTTGTTAATAGTAACTGCAAACAGGAGAGACATCTGACTACATCATTCTACAGAGCTGCATGTATTTGTCACTCAGTGACAATCTGCCTGCCTGATGCTCCTCAACAATAAATGTCAGCGTGTGTGTAAAGGAGAAGGTCTTCAACCTCAGGACAGCCTCGGCACAGAACTCTGCATCACAGGGAACAGGGATGTCAACTTGCTGGGACGGAGTCCAGATGAGCACCTTTTTACTTTCTCTCAGTCCTGTGCAAAACATACCAATTTGCACCTGCATGTAGTGGCCTGTGTGGTTGCAGTTGGGGTGTGCCCTCCACCAACTTCACATCACAGGCTTTCCCGTTGAAGACATCATCCGGAGAATCACAGCCCTTCCCCATGACAGGACACCATCCGGAGAATCACAGCCCTTCCCCATGACAGGACACTTGATCCCCAACAGCTCCTTGGAGTTCAGCAGTCCGTCAGGGCTTGCTGATAGCTAAGGCTCTTCAACCCTGACAACAGTGCCTCTGTGGTCCACAGAGTATCCACAGTCTTCCAGAGCCACTGGGAGGTCATCAGCTCAATATCTTTCCCGTAGCGTGTGGCTGCATTCCCTCGGAACCCGGGATACAGGATGCTCCTGGAGAAACTGACCAGTGTTGGTGGATTCCCTGACGGGGACCTTCTTGGCTGTGCTTGCAGTAACTCGAAGCTTCCTTGAGTCATGCCACAAGTGTGAGGCACTCTGCTCCGTTGTGATCTGTTCCAAAGCAGTCGACTGGGTTGGGTCAGGTTTCACAAATTCATTGCAGAAGGACAGGCACTTCTGGCAGTTGTAATTGACACGCTGTCCATGTGGCTGGGAAAGAGTAGACAATATATATTAAGTTATTTATATGGCGTTAGAAAGCGTTGAACAGAAGAGAGACACACATCAGTTCAAATACATTTTAAAATGGTACAGCCACAAATAAATATTCCATTCAGTCCAATTTGACCTGGGATGCCACTGGCTGTGATACTATTTAACACACTTATAGAGCAGACTCCCCACAGGCAGATTCAGGTGTCTCCAGGCTCCTATTCAAGTCCTCCTGCGAGTGGAATGCAGGAGTGGGAGGCAGGGGTGGACATTCTGGACGCTTTTCTGCATATTGGTCACTGGCCTTTATGGTGTGTGAAGTCAATGCTGTTTAACCGCTTTGGCTCAGGGTTTTTGTTTATTTGTTAAGATGTGTTTAACGATGCGCGTTTTTTTAATTATTAGCTAGCCACCGCTCTGAGGTAATTCGCTAGCGTTGACGGAAAGTTGTGAAACGGAAAGACAAACACAATCGTGTTCGAATGGATCTGGGTAAAGGGGGCGGGGCTACATAAGGTGAATACAGTTGGTATACGGTTGATACACAGTGCTGTGAAAAAGTATATGCCCCCTTTTCTAATTTCCTCTATTTTTGCATATTTTTGATACTGAGTGTTATCATATCTTCAATCAAAACCTAATATTAGATAAAGGGAACCTGAGTTTACAAATAACAACAATTATTGATACTTATTTAATTAACAAAGTTATGCAACACATAATTGCCCCCTTTACACTCAATAACTGGTTGTGCCACCTTTAGCTGCAATGACTGCAACCAAATGCTTCCTGTAGTTGTTTATCAGTCTCTCACGTCGCTGTGGAGGGATTTTGGCCCACTCTTCCATGCAGAACTGCTTTAACTCAGTGACATTTGTGGGTTTTCAAAAATGAACTGCTCGTTTCAAGTCCTGCCACAACATCTCAGTTGGGATTAGGTCTAGACTTTGACTTGGCCATTCCAAAACTTCAAATTTGTTGCTTTTTAACCATTTTCATGTAGACTTGATTGTGTGTGTTTTGGATCATTGTCTTGCTGCATGACCCAGCTGCGCTTCATCTTAAGCTCACAGACGGATGGCCTGTGGTCCTCTGTAGCTCAATTGGTAGAGCATGGCACTTGTAATGCCAGGGTAGTGGGTTCGATCCCCGGGACCACCCATACGTAAAGATGTATGCGCACATGACTGTAAGTCGCTTTGGATAAAAGCGTCTGCTAAATGGCATTTTTAATTTAAAATGTTATTCTCCTGTAGAATTCTTGGTTTGTTCTATTGAGGCAAGTTGTCCAGGTCCTGAGGCAGCAAAGCATCCCGAAACCATCACACCACCACCACCATGCTTGACCGTTGGTATGAGGTTCTTACTCTGGAATGCAGTGTTTGGTTTTCACCAGGCTTAATGAGACCCATGTCGTCCAAAAAGTTTTACTTTTGACTCATCTGTCCATAGAAAATTATTCCAAAAGTCTTGATGATCTTCCATGTGCTTTTTGGCAAACTTTAGTCAACTTTTTGGACGAGATTCCTGAAACGCCTGCCCAGAGGTGAATTTTTGGAGGAGGGGTAGGCAATAATTTTCCCCACACGCTTCCTTGCCCTGGAGTCGTGCAGGACCCCGATAGAGGGCAGGTGACAGCCAATGACCCTTTGCAGACCGGACAATGCGTTGCAGTTTGCCCTTGAAGCGGGCCGACTCAGACCCAAACCAGGCGGTGATGGAGGAGGTGAGGATGGACTCAATGATTGGTGCATAAAACTGGATCAGGATTGACTGGGAGATTTTAAGAGGTTTTTTTCAGTCACCATTGGCCTCATCGTGAAATCCCTGAGCGGTTTCCTTCCTCTCGTGCAAATGAGTTAGGAAGGACGCCTGTATCTTTGTAGTGACTTAGTGTATTGATACACCATCCAAAGTGTAATTAATAACTTCACCATGCTCAAAGGAATATTCAATGTCTGCTTTTTTTTACCCATATACCAATAGGTGCCCTTCTTTGCGAGGCATTGGATAACCTCCCTGGTCTTAGTGGTTGAATCTGTGTTTTGAAATTCACTGTTCGACTGAGGACCTTACAGATAATTGTATGTGTGGGGTACAGAGATGAGGTAGTCATTCAAAAGTCATGTTTAACACTAGTATTGCACACAGTGAGTCCAGGCAACTTATGTGACTTAAGATATTTTTTACTCCTGAACTTATTTAAGCTCCCCATAACAAAGGGGATGAATACTTATTGACTCAAGACATTTCAACATAATTCCACTTTGACATTATGGGGTATTGCGTGTAGGCCACTGAAACAAAATCTCAATTTAATCCATTTTACAATTTCTACTTTCTATCAAGTTGTAGTCGTTCAGGAGTGGCCTGGAGTGTTTTTCAACCCAAAATAGTTTCTTTATTTTATTTATCATACTCTCTGTTTCCAACCATCCACACACACACACACACACACACACACACACACACACACACACACACACAACTATTTGTTTTCATTAGCTATGACTCAAGAGAACTATCCCTAAGTGACTGTTAGTGCGTGTGTGTCCTGCTTTCACAGTGTGTAGGGAATAGGGTGCCATTTGGGACGGAATCCTGTCCGTTACAAATAACACTAGAAGTATGCCTCGTCATCTAGTACACTTACACGGTAGTTGGAAAAAAAGTGATGAGTCGCCTAGGATTTAGTTAGAATGTGTTAACCAAATATTGATATTGCTTTCAGTGGTACTTTCTGAATGCACATTTCTGTATAGTAGTTGATCCACATGAATTAAAAAGGAATGAGTCTGAGTTAGAATGTGTGAAACCTGTCACTGACTGTTAAGTTCTCTCTCTCACTCCCTCCCTCTCCCGTCGGTCGGCCAGCCTCTCCAGAGGGTAGAGAATGAGGTGGATCTCAGGGGGGACCAGCACCCATTAGGAACGTTCTCTTACCCTCCCTCGAACCACCACCACCCACCAGCGATGCCTCCCTCTGTCCCCCTCCAGTACCTCCCTCAGGAGCCTCTGCACCAGGAGATGCCCTTCCCAGTGGTAAGACTTTACCTCACATCTTCCCTTCCCAGTGGTAAGACTTTACCTCACATCTGCCCTTCCCAGTGGTAAGACTTTACCTCACATCTTCCCTTCCCAGTGGTAAGACTTTACCTCACATCTGCCCTTCCCAGTGGTAAGACTTTACCTCACATCTGCCCTTCCCAGTGGTAAGGCTTTACCTCACATCTGCCCTTACCAGTGGTAAGACTTTACCTCACATCTGCCCTTCCCAGTGGTAAGACTTTACCTCACATCTGCCCTTCCCAGTGGTAAGACTTTACCTCACATCTGCCCTTCCCAGTGGTAAGGCTTGATGCCATAGAGCTAGCTAGCTGAACCAGTATCTGTGAGTTATAAACCCTTCTAACGCCCAGAAAGCACCGATTTGAAACTCCCATCCACCAGGTGCCGACATTTCTTTGGGTTGCTTGGACATTTTTAGTTAGACATTTTTTGGAAGTACATACCGGCCGTGACGGCAGTTAATTTCGATAGTTGCTAATCGATACTCCTTATTTGAGTAACAAACGTATTTTTACATTATTAAAGGGATGCTTCGGGATTTTGGCGTTATCTACTTCCCCAGAGTCAGATGAACTTGTGGACACCATTTTTATGTTTCTGTCCAGTATGAAGGAAGTTAGAGGTAGGTAGCAGTGCTGAGCGATTAACCCGTTATTAAACAGCTAATTGACCGACGTCTGTTCAATTACTTGAATTCCATTTAGTTAATTTTTTTCGTGTGAGCCCAACGCGCCCTTTTTCTAGAGTGAAATCAAGTCGACCTACACTACATGACCAAAAGTATGTGGACACCCCTTCAAATTAGTGTATTCGGCTATTTCAGCCACATCCGTTGCTGACAGGTGTATAAAATCGAGCACACCGCCATGCAATCTCCAGAGACAAACATTGGCAGTAGAATGGCCTTCCTGAAGAGCTCAGTGACTTTCAACGTGGCACCGTCATAGGATGCCACATTTCCAACCAGTCAAGAACTGTTCGTCGGGAGCTTCATGAAATGGGGATCCATCGCCCAGCAGCCGCAATGCCAAGCCTAAGATCACCATCCGCAATGCCAAGCCTAAGATCACCATCCGCAATGCCAAGCCTAAGATCACCATCCGCAATGCCAAGCCTAAGATCACCATCCGCAATGCCAAGCCTAAGATCACCATCCGCAATGCCAAGTGTTGGCTGGAGTGGTGTAAAACTCTGGAGCAGTGGTGTAAAACTCCGTTCTTCGGAGTGATGAATCATTCTTCACCATCTGGCAGTCCGACGGACGAATCTAGGTTTGGGGGATGCCAGGAGAACGCTACCTGCCCCAATGCATAGTGCCAACTGTAAAGTTTGGTGGAGGAGGAATAATGGTCTGGGGCTGTTTTTTTTTTTCATGGTTCAGGCTAGGCCCCTTAGTTCCGGTGGAAATCTTAATGCTACAGCATACAATGACATTCTGTGCTTCCAACTTTGTGTCAACAGTCTGGGGAAGGTCCTTTCCTGTTTCAGCATGACAATGCCCCCGTGCACAAAGCGAGGTCCGAGAAATGGTTTGTCGAGATCGGTTTTGGCAATTGAATGTTCACTGTTTTTGGCTTTGGAATTTCCATTAAAAAGCTCTAATCATTGTAATGTCATTATTTCATAATACATTTAATGTTTTTAAAAAATTATCAAAATCGAATACTGTGATTTATTTTTTAATAATCTAATCGAAACCGAACCCCGACCTCAAAAAGCACTAATCACTAGTAGATATACCCCTTTCATCTATTTGTAAGTCGCTCTGGATAAGAGCGTCTGCTAAATGACGTAAATGTAAATGTAAATCAACGAGAAATAATCTTTCAAATAAAAATATACATTTACTGTAGCAGTTTAGCACAGATCCACACGCTGTGTGTGCCTCCAGTTGACAAACTACACTTCCTCCCCAGTTAGCTGACACACAGGTGTTGGGAGCACGCTAGGTGGCTAATTAGCACAGGTGACCGCCTCTGTCTTCCGTAAACAAGCGCTGTAACCTTGGTGATATGGCCGTGTGGGAACACTAACCCCATAAATGTGTGTCGTCATTTTTTTTTTTACAACTTTCTTTTGTGCTGATGTGAAAGATACGTTCCTTATGTTTCCAAAACAAGCAATGAGTTTTAAGGTTCAGAATGAGCATCGGGGTTCTTAACAAAACTCCCCCTGGCCAGAAGATGCTATCGTCAATAGGCGCTAAAGGTAGTTAGTCTATGAATGGGTTAACCCTTTACTGTGGTAAGACCTCATGTCTTCACCGTCACACAGTTAGCAAAACATAGAGCTATCCATCCCTAACCCTTCCCCAGTGGTAAGACTTTAGCTAGCTCAGTCTAACCCTTCCCCAGTGGTAAGACTTTAGCTAGCTGTCTAACCCTCCCCAGTGGTAAGGCTTTAGCTAGCTCAGTCTAACCCTTCCCAGTGGTAAGACTTTAGCTAGCTCAGTCTAACCCTTCCCCAGTGGTAAGACTTTAGCTAGCTCAGCCTAACCCTTCCCAGTGGTAAGACTTTAGCTAGCTCAGTCTAACCCTTCCCAGTGGTAAGGCTTTAGCTAGCTCAGTCTAACCCTTCCCCAGTGGTAAGGCTTTAGCTAGCTCAGTCTAACCCTTCCCCAGTGGTAAGACTTTAGCTAGCTGTCTAACCCTTCCCAGTGGTAAGACTTTAGCTAGCTGTCTAACCCTTCCCCAGTGGTAAGACTTTAGCTAGCTCAGTCTAACCCTTCCCCAGTGGGACTTTAGCTAGCTCAGTCTAACCCTTCCCCAGTGGTAAGACTTTAGCTAGCTCAGTCTAACCCTTCCCCAGTGGTAAGACTTTAGCTAGCTCAGCCTAACCCTTCCCAGTGGTAAGACTTTAGCTAGCTCAGTCTAACCCTTCCCCAGTGGTAAGACTTTAGCTAGCTCAGTCTAACCCTTCCCCAGTGGTAAGACTTTAGCTAGCTCAGTCTAACCCTTCCCCAGTGGTAAGACTTTAGCTAGCTCAGTCTAACCCTTCCCCAGTGGTAAGACTTTAGCTAGCTCAGTCTAACCCTTCCCCAGTGGTAAGACTTTAGCTAGCTGTCTAACCCTTCCCCAGTGGTAAGGCTTCAGATTGTAGAACTAGCTAAAGCTACAGAGCTGGTGTAATTGGCATTTTAAATAACCAGTCACTTCCATAGGATATTTCACCCCCACCATGTTAACAGCTATGTCTCTCTCTGTCTCCTGTTCAGCCATACCCCCACATGCTGCCGCGGCGTGTCAACGGCCACAGGTACCGGTTACAGCAGCACCCACCTCCGCCCCCACCTCCCTACTACCCAGGCTTCCTGCCGTACTTCCTGTGAGTATGAAATGAATAAAGAACGTAATGATACACGTACGCTTTTCAATGACCCAAAGTCGCTCAGGACCTAAAATTGGACACCCTTTAAGGTGAGGTGTTAACGTAACTGAACATGCTGTACACTGTATTGACAACGCCACAATACATTGCCTTTTTCCACATCCCAAGTGTCATGTCCCTATTTTAGTCTGGGTGATGTGTGACCGTTGTGTCTCTGTGCAGGTCGATGCTTCCTGTGCCTCCTACAGCAGTGGGACCAGCCATCAGTCTGGACCTGGACGTAGATGATGTGGAGATGGAGAACTATGAGGTGAGGGGACCAGGTCATCAATACACTTACCAAACACACTGTTTGTTTCTCTGTGTGTTTCTGTGTGTTTCTCTGTGTGTTTCTGTGTTTGTACTATATTTAGGGTCAGTTGTTTTGGATGTTTTTCTCTTGACCGGTATTTCCAGCGTTATCCACTAGGTTTGCTGCAGGTAGAAAATACTAGGAAATGGTCTTTAGCTAGAACACAATCAATCAATCAATCAATCAATCAATCAATCAATCAATCAATCAATCAATCAATGTCTGGTTGTGCGCGAGTGTTTGGTGGGGGATCGCCTGAGCCAGGGGAGGCGGAGCTCTACGACTATTATCTGGCAGGGAAAAACCGGTTTGTAGATCAGTGATTCTACACATCACTTTGCTCAAGCTGATCCACTCCAATGGAAGTTGGAGTTAAAAATGGGTCAAAATGGGTCAAACACTCACGCACAACCAGACATTGATTGATTGATTGATTGATTGATTTAGAGACAGCTTGTGTCAATTTAAAGACTTGAGGGCCATTTCCAAACCTAGTGGATAATGCTGGAAATACCGGTCAATAAAAATTAACCAAAACAACTGGCCCTAAAATATATGTCCCTCAGGCATTAGTGAACCTGGCTGATCTCTCTCACCCTCTCGTCCCTCAGGCATTAGTGAACCTGGCTGATCTCTCTTGTCTCTCAGGCATTAGTGAACCTGGCTGGTCTCTCTCGTCCCTCAGGCATTAGTGAACCTGGCTGATCTCTCACCCTCTTGTCCCTCAGGCATTAGTGAACCTGGCTGATCTCTCACCCTCTCGTCCCTCAGGCATTAGTGAACCTGGCTGATCTCTCACCCTCTCATCCCTCAGGCATTAGTGAACCTGGCTGATCTCTCTCGTCCCTCAGGCATTAGTGAACCTGGCTGATCTCTCACCCTCTCGTCCCTCAGGCATTAGTGAACCTGGCTGATCTCTCACCCTCTCATCCCTCAGGCATTAGTGAACCTGGCTGATCTCTCTCGTCCCTCAGGCATTAGTGAACCTGGCTGATCTCTCACCCTCTCGTCCCTCAGGCATTAGTGAACCTGGCTGATCTCTCACCCTCTTGTCCCTCAGGCATTAGTGAACCTGGCTGGTCTCTCTCGTCCCTCTTGTCCCTCAGGCATTAGTGAACCTGGCTGATCTCTCTCCCTCTTGTCCCTCAGGCATTAGTGAACCTGGCTGATCTCTCTCCCTCTTGTCCCTCAGGCATTAGTGAACCTGGCTGATCTCTCTTGTCCCTCAGGCATTAGTGAACCTGGCTGGTCTCTCTCGTCCCTCAGGCATTAGTGAACCTGGCTGATCTCTCACCCTCTCATCCCTCAGGCATTAGTGAACCTGGCTGATCTCTCTCGTCCCTCAGGCATTAGTGAACCTGGCTGATCTCTCACCCTCTCGTCCCTCAGGCATTAGTGAACCTGGCTGATCTCTCTCACCCTCTTGTCCCTCAGGCATTAGTGAACCTGGCTGATCTCTCTCACCCTCTTGTCCCTCAGGCATTAGTGAACCTGGCTGATCTCTCTCTCCCTCTCGTCCCTCAGGCATTAGTGAACCTGGCTGATCTCTCTCCCTCTTGTCCCTCAGGCATTAGTGAACCTGGCTGATCTCTCTCCCTCTTGTCCCTCAGGCATTAGTGAACCTGGCTGATCTCTCTCCCTCTTGTCCCTCAGGCATTAGTGAACCTGGCTGATCTCTCTCCCTCTTGTCCCTCAGGCATTAGTGAACCTGGCTGATCTCTCTCACCCTCTCGTCCCTCAGGCATTAGTGAACCTGGCTGATCTCTCTCACCCTCTTGTCCCTCAGGCATTAGTGAACCTGGCTGATCTCTCTTGTCCCTCAGGCATTAGTGAACCTGGCTGATCCCTCTCCCTCTCGTCCCTCAGGCATTAGTGAACCTGGCTGATCTCTCTCCCTCTTGTCCCTCAGGCATTAGTGAACCTGGCTGATCTCTCTCCCTCTCGTCCCTCAGGCATTAGTGAACCTGGCTGATCTCTCTCACCCTCTCGTCCCTCAGGCATTAGTGAACCTGGCTGATCTCTCTCCCTCTCGTCCCTCAGGCATTAGTGAACCTGGCTGATCTCTCTCCCTCTTGTCCCTCAGGCATTAGTGAACCTGGCTGATCTCTCACCCTCTCGTCCCTCAGGCATTAGTGAACCTGGCTGATCTCTCTCACCCTCTCGTCCCTCAGGCATTAGTGAACCTGGCTGATCTCTCCCTCTTGTCCCTCAGGCATTAGTGAACCTGGCTGATCTCTCACCCTCTCGTCCCTCAGGCATTAGTGAACCTGGCTGAGAGGCTAGGAGAGGCTAAACCACGAGGAATCACCAAGGCAGACATTGAGCAGCTTCCATCCTACAGGTTCAACCTCGACAACCATCAATCTGAACAAACGCTGTAAGATAAGCTTCCTCTGCCTTTTCTCTTATTCCACTCACCCATTTAATCTATCTAATCTAATCTATCTGGCTGGCTGGCCAAATAGGGCTGGGCGGTATACCATATTTTCCTATATACTGGTATCGATGCATGGACCAGTTTGGGTTTTTACTTTACCTTCTATAACGGTATTTCAATATTTGGTTTGTTAAATGTGATACGCATCTCCGGGCTTGGTGTGACACCAAGCCCTGCCCCCCGTCACACCAAGCCCTGCCCCCCGTCACACCAAACCCTGCCCCCCGACACACCAAGCCCTGCCCCCCGACACACCAAGCCCTGCCCCCCGACACACCAAGCCCTGCCCCCCGTCACACCAAGCCCTGCCCCCCGTCACACCAAACCCTGCCCCCCGTCACACCAAGCCCTGCCCCCCGTCACACCAAACCCTGCCCCCCGACACACCAAGCCCTGCCCCCCGACACACCAAGCCCTGCCCCCCGACACACCAAGCCCTGCCCCCCGACACACCAAGCCCTGCCCCCCGACACACCAAGCCCTGCCCCCTGTCACACCAAACCCTGCCCCCTGACACACCAAGCCCTGCCCCCTGTCACACCAAGCCCTGCCCCCTGTCACACCAAGCCCTGCCCCCTGACACACCAAGCCCTGCCCCCTGTCACACCAAGCCCTGCCCCCTGACACACCAAGCCCTGCCCCCTGTCACACCAAGCCCTGCCCCCTGACACACCAAGCCCTGCCCCCTGTCACACCAAGCCCTGCCCCCTGTCACACCAAGCCCTGCCCCCTGACACACCAAGCCCTGCCTATACCTTCCCAGGCCCACCCAGTAATGTGATATCCATAGATTAGCGCCTAATGAATTTATTTCAATTGACTGATTTCCTTATATGAACTGTAACTCAGTAAAATCATTGAAATTGTTGCAAGTTGCTTTTATATTTTTGTTCATTATATTTGCTTGGTAGCTTAACTTCATGGGCAACGATGCCCCAGGCCATCTAGTTAACATTAGCATACTACATCTAGCTACATGTTGAACTTCCATCCTCTCAGGCCGGGGGTACAATGTATGAATTTGTGGTTGGATCTGAATAGCTGTTGTAATCATTGGCCGGTCCAAAATCCCTATTTCCATCTATGGCTAATTTAGGAAAGGGATGATTTTAGCTAGCTAGCTAGCCACCAGAGGACAACACAACGAGATTCAACAATTCAAGTTTTTTTCTGTCAATAATGATGTTTGGCTTGTGATGTGATTGGTCTGTAGCCAAATCCAAACTGGCTTCCCTTTGGGTGCACCAGGACCAATCACAGCTGAGCTCACTCAGTTTAGCTCAATGCCGATTGGCTATTATTTTATTTATTTTTTATCAAAGGAGGCTAAATGCTTGCTGGCTTCCCTTTTCATTCAATGCTACGTGCAGCAACAATGTCATACTCTTTTTGACCAGACAGCATCAGATAGACACTCTACATATACTGAGACAGAGGAGTTTTGCTTTGTTCGCTCGGATGCTTTCTCCTGTGAGATACATTCAGCCTCTTGCAAATTGAAGGAAAACGCGGAGAGACGAAAGATACATTATTTTGTAAAAAAAAATTCTTGGTCAATTTTTTTGGGGAAGCCTGGCTTCCCTTGGAGTCCATGAATACACTGGTTATTAGAAAAGTCTAAAGTCATCACGCTGACACTAAATCAATTGCTTGAATCAGATTAATATTATTATTTTGTTACCCGTTGATTTTGTCATACGCGCCTGTCCGTCGCAGGATTTATAACGCTGTTGTCATTTTCAAAGTGAAATGGCACAGACAATTCGCGCCGCTCTCTGTATAAAAGTCGCTGGCCACAAACTAATACACGGATTTCACAGTCAAGCTATCACTCAAACTAAAGACAACCCCTGTCACTATTTAGAACGACTTGTGGAGAGATGATTCGTTGAAATTATCCAGTCAAAAAAGTGTTGCGTTTCCTATTTCGTATTGACCATCTACCGTAAACATTGTTCCACAAGAAGATTAGTTGATAAATGGCTACTACATATTTTTATCTAGTGCATTCAGAAAGTATTCAGACCCCTTTACTTTTCCCAAATTGTTTACTTTACAGCCTTATTCTAAAATTGATTAAATTACTTTTTTCCCCTCATCAGTCTACACACAATACCCCATAATGACAAAGTGAAAACAGGTTTTTAGAAATGTTTGCAAAAAAATAAAATAATGAAATACCTTAAGTATTCAGACCCTTTCCTATGAGAATCAAAATTGAGCTCAGGTGCATTCTGTTTTCATTGATCATCCTTGAGATGTTTCTCCAACTTGATTGGAGTCCACCTGTGGTAAATTTAATTGATTGGACATGATTTAGAAAGGCACACACCTGTCTACATTAGGTCCCACAGTTGACAGTACATGTCAGAGCAAAAACCAAACCATGAGGTCGAAGGAATTGTCCGTAGAGCTCAGAGACAGGATTGTATCGAGGCACAGATCTGGGGAAGGATGCCAAAAAAATTCTGCAGCTTTGAAGGTCCCCAAGAAACGGTGGCCTCTACAGTGAGGGAAAAAAGTATTTGATCCCCTGCTGATTTTGTACGTTTGCCCACTGACAAAGACATGATCAGTCTATAATTGTAATGGTAGGTTTATTTGAACAGTGAGAGACAGAATAACAACAACAAAATCCAGAAAAACGCATGTCAAAAATGTTATAAATTGATTTGCATTTTAATGAGGGAAATAAGTATTTGACCCCCTCTCAATCAGAAAGATTTCTGGCTCCCAGGTGTCTTTTATACAGGTAACGAGCTGAGATTAGGAGCACACTCTTAAAGGGAGTGCTCCTAATCTCAGCTTGTTACCTGTATAAAAGACACCTGTCCACAAAAGCAATGAATCAATCAGATTCCAAACTCTCCACCATGGCCAAGACCAAAGAGCTCTCCAAGGATGTCAGGGACAAGATTGTAGACCTACACAAGGCTGGAATGGGCTACAAGACCATCGCCAAGCAGCTTGGTGAGAAGGTGACAACAGTTGGTGCGATTATTCGCAAATGGAAGAAACACAAAAGAACTGTCAATCTCCCTCGGCCTGGGGCTCCATGCAAGATCTCACCTCGTGGAGTTGCAATGATCATGAGAACGGTGAGGAATCAGCCCAGACCTACACAGGAGGATCTTGTCAATGATCTCAAGGCAGCTGGGACCATAGTCACCAAGAAAACAATTAGTAACACACTACGCCGTGAAGGACTGAAATCCTGCAGCGCCTGCAAGGTCCCCCTGCTCAAGAAAGCACATATACATGCCCGTCTGAAGTTTGCCAATGAACATCTGAATGATTCAGAGGAGAACATGGTGAAAGTGTTGTGGTCAGATGAGACCAAAATGGAGCTCTTTGGCATCAACTCAACTCACCGTGTTTGGAGGAGGAGGAATGCTGCCTATGACCCCAAGAACACCATCCCCACCGTCAAACATGGAGGTGGAAACATTATGCTTTGGGGGTGTGTTTCTGCTAAGGGGACAGGACAACTTCACCGCATCAAAGGGACGATGGACGGGGCCATGTACCGTCAAATCTTGGGTGAGAACCTCCTTCTCTCAGCCATGGCATTGAAAATGGGTCGTGGATGGGTATTCCGGCATGACAATGACCCAAAACACACGGCCAAGGCAACAAAGGAGTGGCTCAAGAAGAAGCACATTAAGGTCCTGGAGTGGCCTAGCCAGTCTCCAGACCTTAATCGCATAGAAAATCTGTGGAGGGAGCTGAAGGTTAGAGTTGCCAAACGTCAGCCTCGAAACCTTAATGACTTGGAGAAGATCTGCAAAGAGGAGTGGGACAAAATCCCTCCTGAGATGTGTGCAAACCTGGTTTCCAACTACAAGAAATGTCTGACCTCTGTGATTGCCAACAAGGGTTTTGCCACCAAGTACTAAGTAATGTTTTGCAGAGGGGTCAAATACTTATTTCCCTCATTAAAATGCAAATCAATTTATAACATTTGTGTTTTTCTGGATTTTGTTGTTGTTATTCTGTCTCTCACTGTTCAAATAAACCTACCATTAAAATGATAGACTGATCATTTCTTTGTCAGTGGGCAAACGTACAAAATCAGCAGGGGATCAAATACTTTTTTCCCTCACTGTATCATTCTTAAATGGAAGAAGTTTGGAACCACCAAGACTCTTCCTAGAGCTGGCCGCCCAGCCAGTCTGAGCAATTGGGGGAGAAGGGCCTTGGGCAGGGAGCTGACCAGGAACCTGATGGTCACTCTGACAGAGCTTCAGAGTTTCTCTGTGGAGATGGGAGATCCTTCCAGAAGGACAACCATCTCTGCAGCACTCCACAGCCCGCTTGGAGTTTGCCAAAAGGCACCTAAAGGACTCTCAGACCATGACAAACAAGATTCTCTGGTCTGATGAAACCAAGATTGAACTCATTGGCCTGAATGCCAAGCGTCACGTCTGGAGGAATCCTGGCACCATCCCTACGGTGAAGCATGGTGGTGGCAGCATCATGCTGTGGGGATGTTTTTCAGCGGCAGGGACTGGGAGACTAGTCAGGATCGAGGGAAAGATGAACGGAGCAAAGTACAGAGAGATCCTTGATGAAAACCTGCTCCAGAGCGCTCAGGACCTCAGACTGGGGCGAAGGTTCACTTTCCAACAGGACAACGACCCTAAGCACACAGGCAAGACAACACAGGAGTGGGTTCGGGACAAGTCTCTGAATGTCCTTGAGTGGCCCAGCCAGAGCCCGGACTTGAACCCGATCGAACATCTCTGGAGAGACCTGAAAATAGTTGTGCAGCGACGCTCCCCATCCAACCTGACAGAGCTTGAGAGGATCTGCAGAGAAGAATGGGAGAAACTCCCCAAATACAGGTGTGCCAAGCTTGTAGCATCATACCCAAGAAGACTCGAGGCTGTAATCGTTGCCAAAGGTGCTTCAACAACGTACTGAGTAAAGAGTCTGAATACTTATGTAAATGTGATATTTCAGTTTTGCAAACATTTCTAAAAACCTGTTTTTGCTTTGTCATTATGGGGTATTGTGTATAGATTGATTGAGGGGGTTTAAACATGTAGTATGTCAGAACATGGTCATATCGCCCAGCCCTACCATCCATCCATCCATCCATCCATCCATCCATCGTAACAGGAACTGTCTTGACATTTTAAACATACAGTATGTCAGAACCTGGTGACGCTCTGTGTAATGCTCAGGTCTGTCTTCCAGGTGTGTCGTGTGCTTTAGTGACTTTGAGTGTAGGCAGCTACTGAGAGTATTACCCTGCAACCACGAGTTCCACGCTAAGTGTGTCGACAAATGGTTAAAGGTAAGCTAATTTCATCCATCGTTAACTCTTGGAGTACGTCCCAAATGGCATCCTATGCCCTATACCTTTTTAATGCGATGGTTAACACTTATTTTTGTTCCTCTGTCTTCCTCCCAGACCAATCGCACTTGTCCAATCTGCCGGGCGGACGCGTCAGAGGTGCACCGCGAGGTGGAGTGAGTGACACCCAGGCTTTTGAGATCTTTGATTGGAAAGCAGCACAAAACTAAACCCACAGAGTCTGTCTGTCTGTCGTAGCGCCTGCCTCAGCCTGCCTGGGGACGCCTGCCACCTACCCTGCCTGCGTCCTGCGCCCCCCCCCCACCCCCCCACCACTCCTGACCCCTCCACCCCCCCTCACCACTCCTGCTCCACCTCAACAACAATAAGCAATCTAAGATTGTATGTTTGGAGCCCCTCCCTCGGTCGTACCTCTGCTGTTCTTCTACTGCTGCCTCTGATGAAAAGCTACAGCCTCATAGTCCTGTCTGTCTGCCTGTCTGTCTGCCTGTCTGTCTGTCTGTCTGTCTGTCTGCCTGTCTGCCTGTCTGCCTGTCTGTCTGCCTGTCTGTCTGCCTGTCTGCCCGTCTGTCTGCCCGTCTGTCTACCCGTCTGTCTACCCGTCTGTCTGCCCGTCTGTCTGCCCGTCTGTCTGCCCGCCTGTCTGTCTGTCTGTCTGTCTGTCTGTCTGTCTGTCTGCCTGTCTGCCTGTCTGTCTGCCTGTCTGCCTGTCTGCCTGTCTGCCTGTCTGCCTGTCTGCCTGTCTGCCTGTCTGTCTGTCTGTCTGTCTGCCTGGGATATCCATTGATCCATCTCCTCGTTCTGCTCCTCTGCCTGCCCCAGTGTGGCAGATTCCAAAGACGTGACCTACCATATGTTGTTGTTGTTGTCGAAGGGCTTTTACGTTTACAAGGTTTTTACTTTTTGTTATCTTGTGGTTTTGGTTAGTTCTTTGTGACAGATGGGAGTTGGAGCTGCCTGCATGGGAGATGGTGATGACGGTGGGGGGGGGGGGGCCTGGTGGAGCGGAGAGAGGCGTCACACGTTGTTCAATCAGCAGACCAATAATAGGAATACTTCAACACGGTTAAAACTGTAGGAGACTAGATCATTCCGCTGGCTTGGAGGAGAAGCCTGGCTGACTGACCATCATAGATGCATGTTTGTGTAGATGACTGATGGGCAAAGTGACCTGTTAATAATGTATGTTTCGCAATAATGTATTGATGATTTCAATAGTTCTATCCGTTTTTTCTTTTTCAATCTGCTAATGCTATTGTGAAAGTATGACTTGCTGTGGTTAAAACAAGCCTGAGGTTATGGACTCATCTGGCACTGAGAATGATGGAAGTGATGCACCGCCACCGACCTGTCGGGTATATATTCCCTCCTCGCCCTGTTACTCCACACTGTGATACACAACTGACTGGATGGAGGCATGGACGGGTGGAGGAAGAGGAGAGATTATGCTGTGGAGTGAAGGGGAGGGTCCTCAGATCAGCCCCCAGAGAGAGGAGAGGAGGGGGGACAAAGCACTGCCTCTCTGTGAAGTCATCTGCCCTTTCTGCACAATGACCACATCCATCCTCCTCGCCAGCCTTGGTCCTCTGGAGACCAGCTGGCTGGATCCCGGGCAGCACTGAAGGATTAGCATAGCAATATTTTAATCAAGTATCGCCACAACATTTTAAAGGAAGTAACAAAAAACAAACAAAAACAAGGAATGTTGTCTCACCCAGAGAGAGGGGGGGGGGGGCTTGTCTCACCCAGAGCGAGGGGGAGGAGCCTTGTCTCACCCAGAGGGAGGGGGAGGAGCCTTGTCTCACCCAGAGAGAGGGGGGGGGGAGGAGCCTTGTCTCACCCAGAGGGAGGGGGAGGAGCCTTGTCTCACCCAGAGAGGTGGGGGGGGGGGGGGGGGGTCCTTGTCTCACCCAGAGAGCGAGGTGGAGGGAATGTGTCTTCTGCATCGGTGAGGGGGACAGGAGGGAATCTTCACTACCCCAGCATCACCACCACTGACTGACTGCTGCTGTGGAGCCTGCTGCAGAAAGCAATATGTGCAATGAGTGATAGTTTTAAAGTGGACGTTTTTCTTCCTGTTTTTGGAAGAACCAGGCTTTTATCTCTTTGTTTGTGAGCCAAATATTCAATATTATATATATATACTCTTTCAAGATTTCAGATATGCCTTCTCAAGACCTTGACAAGCACAAACCTATTATTACTTAATAATCTTTCAAAAGAAAAAAATCCCTTTGTCATTTCCACTTGTTTTAAGAGTTTTTAAATGGTGTTATTTATTGGTTTTAGCTATCTTAGAGAAAACGTGTTGAAGGACAAGGTCAGAGCACTAACATGGAAGTGTGTGGTCAACGGTATGTGTTCTATTCTAATGGTAACTTAACTTGGTCAGGTCTTCTTGTTAGGCCGTGCTAACTAATGGTGTTGTAAACGATGAAGTGTTGTATGCCGCATAGCTTCAGTGTGAATGCTTCTCGATAATCGTCTTGTTTTCGAAGACAAAAAGAATGTTAACTCCCTGTTTCAAACATCTCTGGTGACGTGACAGACAGACGCTCTGGCGTTGTCCCAGCTGAGCTGACCGTACGTTTCACAGTGATGATCAGGACAGGAAGGGGTTTGAGATAAAAGATGGAGGGAGGAGTGGTGTTGGTAGAATGATACACTGTTGGACATCTATAGGGTTTGCGTCCCAAATGTAGTGCACTACTTTTGACCAGGGCCCATAGGGCTAGTGCACTATGTAGGGAATAGGGTGCCATTTGGGACCCGGCTCATCTTTGTTCAGACTTCCAAAACGGAATGTTGTTGGGGTAAAAAAAAATATATATATATATAAAATGTTACTCCGGGTGTCTTTTGTGTTGTTGTAGGGGGATTCCTTTCTATTCCTAACTACCCCAATAAGCACTGATAGGCCGATGTAACTTTTAGGATGTACACTTGCTTTCTTGTGTAAAGGGACCTTGCCATGTTTTCTATAGCGAATGTGAGTCTCTCTGTGACGCGTGTACCACCTTTTTAAAGAGAAAAAAAAAAAAAGCCATCTTGATGAGTTTAAAGTAAACCCACAGCTTTGAGAGTTAATCTGTGTACATATCTGTTCACTGGCATATATTGTGAGTTTGAAACAACAACAACAAAAAATCCCTCAGGGCCTCTCGGTATATAAGAATAAAGGAACACAGCCTGTTTGAATGGGACAGATGCCATGAAAGGATTGGTGGTGGATTTGAATTTTCTTGGTTGTTTTCCCTCAGGCCACGCATATTTTTAATGTAATCTATTCAAATATTGATAATAATAATACTTGTAGATTTTTTTTATTTTTTTTGCCAGAGTAGTGGATATTGCATCATATAATCATACATTTTAGTTTGTGTTCTTGAACTTGAACTCAACCACACGACGTACAGACATGCATACTTACATAATGGTTGTGATCCCATTTTAAAAACGTGCCGTTGGTGCACAATATCCTACCTAAAACCACTTCCAAAACTACTCTGAAGGTGTTTGCATGATTTTTTTTTATTAAACCAAGTGTGTATTTTCAGTGAAAGATATCTAGACATGGGGATGGTGGACTATTTAACGGTGCACAATATGCATGCATGTCCTACCAGGTCCCAACTGGTTTTTAGCTAGCTCTAGTTGGCTTTGGGTCCGTTCTTCAGGTGGTGGGGGCTCCGTTACTGCTCAGCTGATAACTGCCATGCATTGTACTGCACACATTTGTAACAGAACTGAATGACTAAAATATTTTATTGCGCTTTTATTAAAATACAAATTGTCTGGACTTTGGAACTGGGGAGAAATCCAGGATGTTAAAGTTGTTGGTTATAATATGTGTGCTATGTTGTTGCTGCCTCAGATAATGAACATGTCTAGAACCTAGTTAACTGAAAGCCATAGTGAAAAGCCATTAGATTTGCTTTAGGTATGATGCTGTCACTTGTGGGAATGCAATAGTTTGCCATGGGGATCAGATCAGATGGATTCTTAGAGCATGTTGCTATACTAATAGTCCTAAAATGGTCAGTTACATTCAACACAGTTAAAGGACATAAAAAAATATATATACATGTTAGTCAAACTAATAACAACCGACTGTATTCTCAATGTAGATTTGACATCTAGATACCATTTATTCACTTACTGAAACATTAGCGCCATGGTTCGAGGGGTAAACATCTATTTGGCAGGTTTTAATGACCATATTGTAACGTCTGAAGACAAATGAAAATAGAATCTTGTGGTCTTTCTGTGATCCAATTTAATGAATAATCTCACAGCTTGTGGTGCAAAGGCAAAAAAAAAAATAGGGGAGAAAAAAATGGTGTTCCAATAATAAGCAGCTAAAATAATTTCTTTAGGATTTGATTTCTTGGTTACGCCGTAGATTTCCACTGTTTTCCAATGATCTGTTGCTGTGGTGGGATAGTGGTCTGTTTACTGATTCTACTACTCCTCCAGCCTCTAGGGGGCTCCACCCAACAGGGCCAGGGGCATGTTCGGTGTTAGAAACGAGATGTTTGGTACTTGCACATTTACAGTTACCTCAATTTTGCCATGTTTGGATTTAAAAAATAAAAGCGAATATATTATATATAGGAAAATGGTTCTTAATGCTATGTTTTCATTCCATTGGAATCATATTGTTTGTAGCATTTAACTAGTTATAGTGGATTATATATACAGCTATACTGATTGACATTTTTCAGATTTGTACTTTTATAAACTGAAAGTTGCTAGTTCTGCTTTACCGAGTCGTGCAATCATTTTATTTTTTATTTTTTCGTTGTGGCTGATTTTGAGAGGGTTGTTCACTAATAAATGTATGACATATACCAATATTACAACCGCTTCTTTGCCTGTTTTCACTGTAATCACCATAGAGTTCACAGAAAGCTGTCATGAATGCAAGGATTGAGGCCCATATAGCACCCTATTCCCTATATAGTGCACTGATTTTGACCAGAGCCCTGGGCTCTCATACTGTGCAGAGAAAAGGAATGTGATCTCGTGAGATCAGGATGAACATAAGGTGACGGCTAAAAGAAACTCTTCACAGCCAACTCTAGTATTCCATGAGACATTTACTAATAGGTTAGCGTAATACTTTGGTTTTCCACATACACTACTTGTCGAACATCTCATTCCAGAATCATGGGCATTAATATGGAGTTGGTCCCCCCTTTGCTGCTATAACAGCCTCCACTCTTCTGGGAAGGCTTTCCACTAGATGTTGGAACATTGCTGCGGGGACTTGCTTCCATTCAGCCACAAGAGCATTAGTGAGGTCGGGCACTGATGTTGGCCGATTAGGCCTGGCTCGCAGTCGGCGTTCCAATTCATCCCAAAGGTGTTCGAATGGGGTTGAGGTCAGGGCTCTGTGCAGGCCAGTCAAGTTCTTCCACACTGATCTCAACAAACCATTTCTGTATGGACCTAGTGTAACCGGTGTTAAATGGCTAGCTAGTTAGCGGTGCGCACTAGTAGCGTTTCAATCGGTGACGTCACTCGCTCTGAGACCTTGAAGTAGTTGTTTCCCTTGCTCTGCAAGGGCCGCGGCTTTTGTGGAGCGACAGGTAACGGTGCTTCGAGGGTGACTGTTGTCGATGTGTGCAGAGGGTCCCTGGTTCAAGCCCAGGTAGGGGCGAGGAGAGGGACGGAAGCAACACTGTTACACTCGCTTTGTGCACAGGGGCATTGTCATGCTGAAACAGGAAAGGGCCTCCCCCAAACTTTTGCCACAAAGTTGGAAGCACAGAATCGTCTAGAATGTAATTGTATGCTGCAGCGTTAAGACTTCCCTTAACTGGAACTAAGTGGCCTAGCCCGAACCATTATTCCTCCTCCACCAAACTGTAGTTGGCACTATGCATTGGGGCAGGTAGCGTTCTCCTGGCATCCATGAAACCCAGATTTGTCCTTCGGACTGCCAGATGGTGAAGTGTGATTCATCACTCCAGAGGAAGTGTTTCCACTGCTCCAGAGTCCAATGGCAGAGAGCTTTACACCACTCCAGCCGACGCTTGCCGTTGTTGCATCGTGATCTTAGGCTTGTGTGCGGCTGCTCGGCCATGGAAACCCATTTGATGAAGCTCCCCACGAACAGTTGTTGTGCTGACGTTGCTTCCAGAGGCAGTTTGGAACTCGGTAGTGAGTGTTGAAACTGAGGACATACGATCTTTACGCGCTTCAGCACTCGGCGGTGCCGTTCTGTGAGCTTGTGTGACCGACCACTTCACGGCTGAGCCATTGTGGCTCCTAGACAATAAGAATGCTGTTCATTGACTGTAGCTCAGCCTTCAACACCATAGTACCCTCCAAGCTCATCATTAAGCTTGAGGCCCTGGGTCTGAACCCCGCCCTGTGCAACTGGGTCCTGGACTTCCTGACGGGCCGCCACCAGGTCGTGAAGGTAGGAAACAACATCTCCTCTTCGCTGATCCTCAACACCGGGGCCCCACAAGGGTGCGTGCTCAGCCCCCTCCTCTACTTCCTGTTCACCCAATGACTGCGTGGCCAAGCACGCCTCCAACTCAATCATCAAGTTTGCAGACGACACAACAGTAGTAGGCTTGATTACCAACAATGACGAGACAGCCTACAGGGAGGAGGTGAGGGCTCTGGGAGTGTGGTGCCAGGAAAATAACCTCTCCCTCAACATCAACAAAACAAAGGAGATGAACGTGGACTTCAGGAAACAGCAGTGTGCAACCCCCTATCCACATCGACGGGACCGCAGTAGAGAAGGTGGAAAGCTTCAAGTTCCTTGGCGTACACATCACTGACAAACTGAAATGGTCCACCCACGCAGACAGTATGGTGAAGAAGGCGCAACAGAGCCTCTTCAACCTCAGGAGGCTGAAGAAATTTGGCTTGGCACCTAAAACCCTCACAAACTTTTACAGATACACAATTGAGAACATCCTGTCGGGCTGTATCACCGCCTGGTACGGCAACTGCACCGCCAACAACCGCAGGGCTCTCCAGAGGGTGGTGCGGTCTGCCGAACGTATTACCGGGGGCAAACTACCCGCCCTCCAAGACACATACAGCACCCGATGTCACAGGAAGGCCAAAAAGATAATCAAGGACATCAACCACCTGAGCCACTGCCTGTTCACCCCGCTATCATCCAGAAGGCGGGGTCAGTACAGGTGCATCAAAGCTGGGACCAAGAGAATGAAAAACAGCTTCTATCTCAAGGACATCAGACTGTTAAATAGCCATCACTAGCACATTAGAGGCTGCTGCTGCCTATTGAAATCACTGGCCACTTTAAGAAATGGAACACTAGTCACTTTAATAATCTTTACATATCTTGCACTACTCATCTCATACAGTGGGGGAAAAAAGTATTTAGTCAGCCACCAATTGTGCAAGTTCTCACACTTAAAAAGATGAGAGAGACCTGTAATTTTCATCATAGGTACATGTCAACTATGACAGACAAATTGAGAAAACAAATTCCAGAAAATCACATTGTAGGATTTTTAATGAATTTATTTGCAAATTATGGTGGAAAATAAGTATTTGGTCACCTACAAACAAGCAAGATTTCTGGCTCTCACAGACCTGTAACTTCTTCTTTAAGAGGCTCCTCTGTCCTCCACTCGTTACCTGTATTAATGGCACCTGTTTGAACTTGTTATCAGTATAAAAGACACCTGTCCACAACCTCAAACAGTCACACTCCAAACTCCACTATGGCCAAGACCAAAGAGCTGTCAAAGGACACCAGAAACAAAATTGTAGACCTGCACCAGGCTGGGAAGATTGAATCTGCAATAGGTAAGCAGCTTGGTTTGAAGAAATCAACTGTGGGAGCAATTATTAGGAAATAGAAGACATACAAGACCACTGATAATCTCCCTCGATCTGGGGCTCCACGCAAGATCTCACCCCGTGGGGTCAAAATGATCACAAGAACGGTGAGCAAAAATCCCAGAACCACACGGGGGGACCTAGTGAATGACCTGCAGAGAGCTGGGACCAAAGTAACAAAGCCTACCATCAGTAACACACTACGCCGCCAGGGACTCAAATCCTGCAGTGCCAGACGTGTGCCCCTGCTTAAGCCAGTACATGTCCAGGCCCGTCTGAAGTTTGCTAGAGTTTATTTGGATGATCCAGAAGAGGGTTGAGAGAATGTCATATGGTCAGATGAAACCAAAATAGAACTTTTTGGTAAAAACTCAACTCGTCGTGTTTGGAGGACAAAGAATGCTGAGTTGCATCCAAAGAACACCATACCTACTGTGAAGCATGGGGGTGGAAACATCATGCTTTGGGGCTGTTTTTCTGCAAAGGGACCAGGACGACTGATCCGTGTAAAGGAAAGAATGAATGGGGCCATGTATCGTGAGATTTTGAGTGAAAACCTCCTTCCATCAGCAAGGGCATTGAAGATGAAACGTGGCTGGGTCTTTCAGCATGACAAACACACCGCCCGGGCAACGAAGGAGTGCCTTCGTAAGAAGCATTTCAAGGTCCTGGAGTGGCCTAGCCAGTCTCCAGATCTCAACCCCATAGAAAATCTTTGGAGGGAGTTGAAAGTCTGTGTTGCCCAGCGACAGCCCCAAAACATCACTGCTCTAGAGGAGATCTGCATGGAGGAATGGGCCAAAATACCAGCAACAGTGTGTGAAAACCTTGTGAAGACTTACAGAAAACGTTTGACCTGTGTCATTGCCAACAAAGGGTATATAACAAAGTATTGAGAAACTTTTGTTATTGACCAAATACTTATTTTCCACCATAATTTGCAAATAAATTCATTAAAAATCCTACAATGTGATTTTCTGGATTTTTTTCCCTCATTTTGTCTGTCATAGTTGACGTGTACCTATGATGAAAATTACAGGCCTCTCATCTTTTTAAGTGGTTGAACTTGCACAATTGGTGGCTGACTAAATACTTTTTTTACCCACTGTATATGTATATATATATATATATATATATATAGCGTACCTACAAAAATATTAAAACTGACATGGCTTCAAGGTTAGCAGAGTTTCTATTGGCTGGTAGGAATGCTGAGATGTATTAGACCAAGAGAAGGCTGAGACGCAGGCAGGGAGGTTTATTAGACCAAGAGAGCTGGGGACGGCGAAAGAGCACTGACAGCCAGTAATATTATCAAAATCAAAACCACCACGACATTTTAAAATGTTTAATTTATAGTTGTTGGAAAATGACATCTTTACATGACCAACCCATTCCGATGTTACAGGAGAAATAGGCATCTATGAATCACCACAGGCAGACTGTTATACTATAGATAGGTAAAGCCACATCAAAGCTGTGGCCTCTTCTTCTTCTTGAACTGTGTTGTAGTCTTAAACTGCAGGCAGGCTGCCCTACTCCGGCGGTACGGAACTCAACCCTCGCCTGTTTGGTCATCTCATGACAATTAAATTATAGAGTCAACTTTGATTGAATAAAAAAAAAAAAAAAAAAAAGTAGTGCTTTTTCCAGCCTTGTTATTTAAATATATCTAACGTATGTACAGGGAGGGCAGTTCACATTGCTCTCCTTTTAAACAGAACCAAATTGAACTGGCGAGAGGAGTCATCAGGGCGGGCCGGGCGGCCGGGGATGGAGCGGGGCTAAATTATTTTGGGTTAGAGAGTTTGTTTCGTTATTTCAGACAGTGATCCCTTATCGGCCATTTAGACAAACAGAATGGGTGAAGAAACAACAGAACAGTTGGAGGAGAAGGTTCCATGTTGGAGGTGGAGGAGAAGGTTCCATGTTGGAGGCGGAGGAGAAGGTTCCATGTTGGAGGCGGAGGAGAAGGTTCCATGTTGGAGGTGGAGGAGAAGGTTCCATGTTGGAGGTGGAGGAGAAGGTTCCATGTTGGAGGCGGAGGAGAAGGTTCCATGTTGGAGGCGGAGGAGAAGGTTCCATGTTGGAGGCGGAGGAGAAGGTTCCATATTGGAGGCGGAGGAGAAGGTTCCATATTGGAGGCGGAGGAGAAGGTTCCATGTTGGAGGCGGAGGAGAAGGTTCCATGTTGGAGAAGGTTCCATGTTGGAGGCGGAGGAGAAGGTTCCATGTTGGAGGCGGAGGAGAAGGTTCCATGTTGGAGGCGGAGGAGAAAGTTAGCTAGGTGTCAATCTTCCGTGAGGTCCTGAACAAAGAGGACCTCGGAACGGCTGAGGCCGGCCTCTTTCAGGCTGGGAGGATTGGGCTGCTCCTCCGTGGGAAGGCAGGGCAGAACCCGGCGAGGGAAGTTTGTTACTATCTGGAATTTCTCCGGGGTCTCCTTCAACGAGAACAGGAAGTCGTATATTACCTGGAAACACAGAGGGAGAGATGGGTGAGATGCGTGCTTTTTTTTGTCAAGACCATAAGTTCCATTGGTATACGCCAGGGGAGTTTAATCAAACTGTTAAAATGACACCACATGTAAGAGTGACTAAGAGTTTGCTGTGTAGAATTGGGAGTCAAGCCCCCCACTGGTATGCACCGGGACAGTTAAAATGCCACCACCTGTAAGCTGACTTGAGCAGAGCTGTGTCTTACCGTCAGAGACTGCTGGAAGAGGAAGCGCCTCTCTACTCTGGTGTCGTTAGGCAGTTTGAAAACTATCTTGACGCTGTCAGGGTCGTCTGCTGTGGGCTCGGGGGGAAGACATTCTGACTTGCGCTCCTTCTCTTCCTCCAGCGTCTAAAAAAACAAACACAAATTAGTTAGCCACAGTCAAAACAGGCAACAACAAAGTATTTAAAAAAACATAGGACCAAGAAACTGTTTTAATGTAAGCAGAGAGAGAGAGAGAGGACGGAGATAGTATAAAATACTCTTCGTCCTCACCCTCCTCCTCCTCTCCTCGGCCAGAATGGTCTGCCGGACCATCTCCTCCTCCGCCTGGACCTTCTCCTGCTCCTCCCTCTTCCTCCGGTCCTTCTCCTGGTCGGCTCTCAGCGACTCCAGGTAGGCCTCGTCCTGCTGCGCCCGTAACACCTGCGTCTGGTTCCTCTCCTCCCTGGAACACACGCAGGTAAGGACACGTGTTCCATTAACATCGTTTCTGAGGTTTAATTCAAATTCCAGACACCATCTCCACATTTGTATTTTTCACAATAGTAAAATAAAAATCAGACCTGGGTTTCAAATACATTTCAAAAATAACTATTGGAATAGATTTTAAAGTATTGGAAACCCAGGTCTGCCCAGGTCTACCCAGGTCTGCCCAGGTCTGCCCAGGTCTGCCCGGGTCTACCCGGGTCTACCCGGGTCTGCCCAGGTCTGCCCAGGTCTGCCCAGGTCTACCCAGGTCTGCCCAGGTCTGCCCAGATCTGCAGCCAGTTCCTTACCGCTCCATGCGTTCAGACATCAGGTAGGTCTGATTGGCCTCCATGATGAAGGTGAGCTGGTTGAGGAGGTCCTCTGATTGGATGAGCCCCTCCAGACGTCCCACCACCGTCATCTTACGGTCCTTCAGCATGATCATGGCCAGGAACGGGTAGGTGTTCTCACGCAGCGCCTGGGACACTGAGGCACAGACACACAGAGACACACACAGGGAAAAACAAACACAGATTAAAACAACACTGATCTAAAGTGATGGATGAAGAGATCCCCCCCCCTCATATCTTAGAGAGGCAGGTCGCTTAGTGGGTAAGACCGTTGTGCCAGTTCAGTTCTGGTTCTAATCCCCGAGCCGACTAGGTGAAAAATCTGTCAATGTGCCCTTAAGCAAGGCACTTAACCCTAATTGCTCCTGTAAGTCGCTCTGGATAAGAGCATCTGCTAAATGACTAAAAATGTAAAATGGACCAGCAATGACAGAATCATCCAAAGTTCCAGCACAGATGATTTACTTTTATCTTTAACCCTATTTGACCAGATGAAACTGACTGAGAACACGTCCTCAATTTACAGCAACAATAAAAGAGTATGTAGGATGAGGCCTGTTCCTCTCCAGCTCCAGCAGACCCAGGTAGTGAAGACACGTGCAGGAGTAGACCATTACCTCTGTATCCCTCAGGCTTGCTGGTGGAGCAGGCCCAGAACAGCGTTCTGGTGTTGAGGAAGGTCAGGACCTCTTCTGTACATAACGTGGAGCTGGAAGGAAGATGGTAACAGAAAGAGGCACATCGTTAATATCAACTGTGAGAGGAAAGACATACAGGGTACACTTCAGGGAAAATATCCAAATCAACAAAATACCTAAATTATTTATACTAATAATGAAGAGGGGAGGACAAGTGAATAATACCAAGCATGACACAAATAAGGAAACACGCAAGGAATACCTCCATCCAATCAACTGAATAAATATCCAAACCAATAAAACAATAGAACCTGAATTATAACTAGATAACGAACTAATGATTCTTGCCAGGTCTCGCTCGAAAAAGGGAGAAGAGTACACAACATTGCCTGGCATTCCAGAGTTTGGTTATTGCACTGTAGTATCATAGTGCATTTTGTTTGCGTGTATGTTGACCTCATGTAAATGGATCATAAAGTGATCATATGGTATGGGACCTACCGGCAGAACTGGTCTGTATCCTGGTGGTCCTCTCCATGGAGGTAAACTAACAAGTAGCGAAGCTCACGTTTGGCATCATTCAATGCCTACAGGGGAAAACAAACACAGCTCACTGAATAACACTACCAGCTAATCACCCAAGTTACACATTGATTCAATCCATTTACAACCTATATGGATTCTGGAACATCCGCTTCCTTATTAAAACCATTTAGTCGGTCGCTCAATAAAATAAATGTGGGGTGTCAACTTTTTTAGGTAATGTTCTTATGAGTTCGAAATGTTCTCATGAGTTCTAAAATGTTCTCATGAGTTCTAAATGTTCTCATGAGTTCTAAATGTTCTCATGAGTTCTAAATGTTCTCATGAGTTCTAAATGTTCTCATGAGTTCTAAATGTTCTCATGAGTTCTAAATGTTCTTCTTGTGGATGGTCAGGTACTAGTAACCCAAATTGAGATTGAAACTGGACTGGGAAACCTGAGTAACACACCTGGCTATATGTTCCCTGGTAAAACACTGGATGCGATCGACCGTACTTCTCTTCAAAACTATGGATGAAAGAGACAACGTCACCCACAGGGTCTGTGACGCGTCCACGAGGGTCTGGCCTGACCCACCGCAGGGCAAACCTGGGAGAGGAGGAGGAACCAATCAGTCACCTTCATACAGTAACGTCAGGCAGCTCATATTTATAAGGGGAACTGATGGACAAATACAGTTTCTTTGTATTACCTGAATATGTCCAGAAGTGTGTAATATGTCAATCTGAAAGGTAGCATTATCATGTAGTAACTCCATCCTATTAATCCCTGAAAATGTAAGAAAAAGACCAGACGAGACATGATGGTCGGAACAGGGGAAAGATTCAATGAGAATACTACAGCTGTCAGCTGGTTGATTTCTGTTATGGAGTTGATTTCTGTAAGCAGGAGGTTGCCCCGCTGTGTACGCTAATGTCATATGGCAGAGTCTACCTTTTAAGTTGAGATGCAAGAACAATTTACTGCAGTTTACCAGTGACACATAAGAGCAAAGAGAAGAACAACATGAGAGAGAGAGAGAGAGGAGAGAGAAGAGAGAGAGAGAGAGAGAGAGAGAGAGAGAGAGAGAGAAGAGAGAGAGAAGAGATAGAGAGAAGAGAGAGCGAGAGAGAGGAGAGAGAGAGACAGAGAGAGAGAGAGAGAGAGAGAGAGAGAATCTGTGTGTACTCTGGGTTGAGCCGAGACGAATAGTTACACTCGTGGCGCTGCTGACCTGAGGGTCTGATGCGGAGAGTGAACCCGAGGAGAATCCTCCTGATCGTCAGATCGTCCTGAATCAGACTGAGAGACCTGAGGAGACGACAGCACGACACTCAGACGATCAGCAGAGATTGACCCGGGACAGAGAGGAGAAGAGAGCTAACGCGGCAGAGATCGAGCAGAATTAGAGAGGAGAGATAATTGCACATGATATACTGCGTTATTGCATGTAGAACGTGCACTCTGATAAATGATGTGGATTCACTGGTGATATGACCTGTGATGTGAGTCTAAAGCCCACACAAAGAGGACTGTGATGGGGTGACAGACTGGAAACTCGATGTTCCTTGTGTTAGTCTAGTTGCACGACTTGGTACACATAACCCAATCCTGTCATTCCTGCAAATCAACCTGGACACACAAAAAAGATTTCTAATCTACCGGTGTCACGAGCATGGCAGATCAGGCCAAAAATCAGATTTCTCAGATCTAGCACTGGTGTACACGAGATTGGACAGATCTCCAATTGATAGGAGAGGATGTGAAGACGTTAGGTTCAACGAATTTATTCCAATAATTCCTACAGGCCATTTCCACATCTTACATTTTAGTCATTTAGCAGATGCTCTTATCCAGAGCGATTTACAGTTAGTGAGTGCATACATTTTCATACTGGCCCCCCGTGGGAAACGAACCCACAACCCTGACGTTGCAAGCGCCATGCTCTACTAACTGAGCTACACGGGATGAGACCGATGGGGACTTACTAGGAACTAACCAGTCATTGCTTGTCATGTGTCATAACAGTTGTGTCTGATGTTCACTCTCAAACCATCTTAAAGCTAACAAGCTAAGTAAAGTTAGCTTGGCTGACCAAGCAAACTGCTAGCTAGCTAGCCAACTGTCGTTAGCCTAGCTAGCTAGTTGCCGTAAGTAAGCCAAGTGTGCTGCAGATAACCAAGTTCAACATGTACTTTCTAATTCACCATACACTGATTGAAGTTTGCTGATGCGTTTCTTTGGGGGAATTGTCGGGAACGAACAAGCAACTCAAGACAATATTTTGTATTGAAAATAATTGGTGTTGCTAGTTAGCTAACATCGTTAGCGGTGGCGCTAGGGGTATCGAAATGATCTTGTCAAAAAGCGTTTTTACACCCATAACGTGCTTTATTTTAAACAATTTCCTTCATATATCTAAACATGCATTGATATGGCGTTATATCGAAATGACCTTAAACTGAAGAAAGGCTCACTACCTGAAATTGAAGGAGTTTTTCGGTCTGCGCCTGAGATAATTCCTGCTCCTCTGGCGCCGCCATCTTACCTCGCCAACAGTGACGTGCAGTTCGCGAACGATTCCTTCTTTTTGAACGACTCTTTTTTTCTGACTCGAGAGTCATGATTCATTTTTCTGAGTGACTCATTCATTTCAGTTGTTCGTTTGACCTGCTAGGGCTGGCCGCAATGATTCCTAAAGCAGGATTAATACACGCTGCTCTGGCTCAGCGGCTCCAGATACTGTTCCGACCATCAACTGTCTGTCAAATGCGCATAAGAAAATAGATAATTAGCATAGTATATAGAGAAGAAGAATACATGTTTAGAACTGATAATTGATCATGGTGCAAGAACGTCTGCAATTAATTGATTATTGAATGTTATGGACACAACTTTGTAGAACCAAAACATACACAGCCTATGCTCATCAAACTCGAGAACTAAAAGCCAATTTATGTTTGATCCGAAAATGTGGTCGGAGGCTTCATATGGAGGGTGTGACGCAATTACGGAGCCTCCAGAGGCATGCAGAGGACAAATTTAACTCCATACCGCATCACCATGCACCTCTCAAATTGTGTTACAATGCGGGGGGCTCTGTATAGCTCCGCAGTGACATGATTGGTTGATGTTAGGTGGGGGCGGGAGGTCCTGTATAAACACAAACTCACTTTGACAACTTTCTTCATAACAGCTCTGCACTGCTCCATGAAGCCAAAATGTATGAATGCCCTGACTTCTGCAGAGGCCATATCACCATAAATGCTGCACGGCCAATGCAGATAATGGATTGACCATGTAGCGCGTTTAAGTCTTTAGGCTACGTATCACCCTCGTGGCAGTCAAGCAATGCATTCTGCCAAGAGTAGTTCACAATCTAGTCAGGTTGTATGCCTAGTGTCGTATATGATGAATGGTGGCCATTATCGCTGTCAACAAAAAGTCCGTTATGCTGCATCGTGTCAGAAGTTTTTATTCATACCACGAGGTTACAGCATAAATTCACAGACACGCGTTGCCTGGAGAACGCCTTCCAGATTGTTATGGTCGTTCTGTCGTCTCATCGTTTAACTCCTATTTATAAACAATGCAAAGGGAGGGACTACTCCCTCTTCTGGCCAATCACCAGTCTCCCCTCGGGCGTCACCCTCCAAGCGGCACATTTCAAATAACATCATAAAACATCCCCCCTTTGGCCTGAACAACCAACATTCCATTTCGTCATGAAAAACATTTACCAAAGGCATAATCTTCAGATACGATATTCCCCCCTTTCGAGACGAAATAAACGTCTCGAAAACAAACAGAATAAGATTATGACTATTAACCATTTATCTCATTGAATATTCTTAACCTTAACCCCAAAAACATTCTCCTCTAGAGTGTAAATACCTTTCTATGAAATACCTGTTTATGAAGTGTGAATACATTACTATGACCCATGAAGAAATCTCTATGGAGTGTAAATACATTACTATGACATATGAACAACTGTTTATGAAGTATGAACACATTACTATGAATTATGAATAAATCTCTATGGAGTGTGAGAGCGAAAAACTGTCCAGCAGCCATCCATCCATATCAATCAAGACAGTAAAATTATCTCACGGTCCCTCTGCCCCAGGCAACCACCGTCGGTACTCCAGATAACCTCATAACTCATGTAAATGCATTTGAAACTATGATGCCATTAAATACACATGTAAACAAAATCCTATCCATAAATATCCATTGTACGGCTGGTCCACCCATCGAATCGTACAATGAATCTCTCCCTTCCTAGACCTTCTGTCCCTAACCCCATCGAAATAAACAAAAGCATCTAATATCCTCATCTGCATTCAATAACATCAAACATCATTCTACTAAAATCAATACCTAAGAATATGACACCATTATGTATTACACATCAAATATGTCTATATTTCATTGCAGACACTGGAATGTAGTCCACTACACTTCCTCTTCCTGTAGTGTCCTCTTCCAATGGACTTGTTGATGATGGAATCAGCCACACCATCCTTGTTTCATCTCCTCCAGTCATATTGTCCCTTCATATTGTCTTTGTTTGAGTATTCCAATCTCCACATGTTCTCCCACATGCTTCTGGAATGACAAGAAAATAACCGACCAAACAGTATCCTTTGCAAAACAACCACTTTCAAATTAAACCTCCATTTCACCTAAGAATTTAAAAAATGATACATAAATGATGCATAAATGATGTATGAATCACATAAACCCATTCCCCCCTTGATTCATAAATCATACTAAAATCATACTAAAAAAAATAAATAAATAAAAAAATGTTTTCCTTGAAACAATAAAAATAAAATGATCAAATAATCAAAAAGGATATTTATCCATTCAGTAGTCCATCTAGACCCCCTCGTCCGTCTCCGTCCAGATCCGGAACAGTCAACACCGGCATCTGAGTGTTGTCTCCAGGCACCACTTCTCCAACCTATCTCAATCTCATAACTTTCTCAAAAGTCAGTACAAACATCACACAGTGTTATCAAAGCTTAAACTAGAATCTGACCCATCACTGCCCCTACTGGCCTAATTGATCTTGCAACCAAATCCTTTCAAATGCATCCCTTATAATGCATCTATAACCCCAATGATATTATCTGACCTATCTGGACTCAAAGTATAACTAATATTCATCCATATGATCTTCCCAAATGTTACACCATACCATGGAAGAAGTCCCCCCTTCTCCCTTAGACTTATTCTCCAATGGTAGGCTTGAAGACTATGACATGTCGCCATGTGTCTGCTAAATGACTAAAATGTAAATGTAATGTCACCCTTTTAACCCTAGAGTTAGCTGTGTCCAATGCTATCCCTCTTATAATGGTAAAACCTCATATGGAAGCTTCAACGTTGACCTGTAACAACATCCTATCCCCATAGGGTAAGAATATACTCTATCATAATTTCCCCTTATCCTCTAAAATTCCCATAGTCACATTGTCAGTCAAAAGCTAATCTTTTAACCATCAAAGTCCTGCTCTTCTTACTACCTGATATATAAAAAGTAACCTATTATTTGTCATTACTACCCTTAAGGTCATGCTTATCCAAAGTTATCATCTAACATCCCAATCTGATCTTTCCATAAACATACCCCTTACCTCATATGTTTTATTAGAACAAACACAACTTTTAGCCCTCAATATTTCACCTGAATACTTCAGGGTTTGCAATTACCTGATTTTACTTTCCCTCTAACCAATGCTCATAGGGTAATCTTTTCACCCAAGAACACTTAAACCCTACTG